TCCCGGCAGGACCCTGTTGTGCCAAGATGCAGGAGGAACACAACTTAAAGGGGAAAGGTTTACTCTGGCTAACAGTTTCAGCCCAAGGTCACCTGGCTGTTGCTTCTGAGCCTGTGGGGAAGCAGAACATCATGGTGGGCCAGAGAGGGACAGCAAAGCTGCTCACCGCATGTCAGCCAGGCCACAGGGACAAAAGATGCCTCAGGGACACCCTACCCCACTCACCAGGCCCACCTCCTAAAGGCTCCACCACCTCCCAACAATGCACCACCTGGGGACCCAGCCTCAGCACACACACAGGTCTTTGGAGGCATATTCCAGATCCAAAACACAGCACCTGCTACCAGACAAGGCAGGTCACAGAATTAAGACCACAGTTTCTATGGCCTGCCTTATAAAGAGAAAAGAGTAGGTGGAAAGTGGGAGAGATCGCAGAGAAATTCTGCTTTCTTGAGGCTGCTTCTGGGGCCTGATGTGCACCAGGATAATCACTTAGCCAACAAGGGCGATTAAGAGTCATGAACCAGGAACTGTGACAGAAACCAAAAAAATACCTGTTCCGGCCACTAACAGAAATGATGTAGAAAAGTCATTAGAAATGGCACCCACATGAAGCAGGTCAGCCACATGTTCCCAGTGAGCACCTGGATTTCCAGAGAAAAGCCCTGAAGACCAGAAACACATCTTGCATTTTGATTCTGGGTGTGGTTCTGTTTCTTTCCTGGGCCCATGGCCAAGGCTGCCCTGCCTATGGGATGCCTACAAAGTCCAGTGCCCACACACTGGTGTGATCATGTTCCTGGTCTTCATGAATGCTCAATAGCTGTGTGGGAGTGGCGCCAGTCTGCAAGCTCTGCCCTGCTTTTCTGTTCAGCAGCACAAGACGTGTGAAGCACTGGTTCAGCTACTAACTGCTATGCAAGTCCACTGAATGACCTGTTGTTTGACTTACACTGCTCTCAACGGTGCTACAATGAAGATTCCCGCCTCTCCTGTGTGTGCAAGCCCATCTCTGGTGAATGGGATCACACACTCATTCTGGGCCTCCCGATTAGTCACATGGAGTAATTCCCCGAGTTTGCCTAAAGACTACCACAGGAAGATGGGAGAAAAATTGCCAAGTGCTGAAAAGCACTAGCTAGTTCCAAACGGATCAGAGTAATGTGGGCAGCAGACAAGGCAATGCTCAGTAGCCATGCAGGCATAGGTTATGAATTCCCATCCTTTGTTGCTATTATACCTCGGGTACCTGCGTCTGTTTCTTTTTCTGAATCACGGGGGACGGTATGTGCCTGTAGTCCCTGCTACTTAGGAGGCTGAGGCAGAAGGATAACCTGAGCCCTGGAGTTTGAGATCAGTCTGGGCAGCAAAGCAGGACCCTTTCTCAATAAAGTAAAATAAATTAAAAAAAAAAAAAAAATCCACCTTGTAGGTGACTGTAGAGTTTGTGAAAATTGAGAAGAACCCAGCTCAGGTCAAGGTAGACAGTAGATTCATAAAAGACAAAATCATGGAATGCAAAACCAAGTCCTTATACATTTGACTATGCTGCAGTCACGAAGCACCAGTGGAGACAGTTATTAAAATCAAGCTTGAGCAGACTTCTTTCAACTCTGTAACTGCTATGCACTGAATTTTCATGTGCCTGTTGTCCATTCACAGGTCGATGTCAAAGGGTGGACCTGGTCTAATGAGCCTGGCATTCTTATGAGAGAAGGAGCTCACCTGCTTTCTCTGTGGACCAGGGAAGTAGATGACCCTTTTAGATACTTGTTTTTCAAGAGGCTAGACTTATTTCTTAGGAATTCATACTTGCACCGTCCAGAGTAAAGCTGTTTTGCACTCGCATGCCTTTTTCCTGGTTTGTTGAAGATGGATTTTTACTAGTATAATTTCTCACATCATGATGTGCTTGTTCCTGCAAAGAGAGAAAGGCACCAGTGCACACAGGAGATTCCACAAGAGCCCCGCCTTCCTGCTGTCACAAATGCTTGCTGCATCAGTGACGGATACATACAACCAAGAGGAGACCTCGATCAAGAAAAGGCTGAGACACCCAAATGCTATTTCTAAAAACCACAATGCAGGGACATCAAACTCTTTCTAGCTGAAGGCTGCCATCTGCAAGCAGGAAGAGAGACCTGAAACTACTTGGCTTGGAAGACTGACCCGCATTTTTCCAGATTCCAGAACTGTGAGAAATAAACCTGCCATTTAAGTACCCAGTTTACAGTGTTTTGTGATGGCAGTCCAAGCAGAGTAATACAACACACAACACATTTACAACAGGTGCACACAGATATGGGATGTAAACTTTTTGCTTATCTTTTTCTCATAATGGCTAATAAGGCTGTTATTGAAGAGATGCAACTCACATACCACACAATTCACCCAATTACACAACTACATGATCCTACAGAGTTGTGCAACCACAATTTTAGAACACGTTCATCATCTAAAAGAGAAACCCAGCACCCATTTGCTCCTTCCCCTCACTCATTCCTCCCAGTTCCAAGCAACCACCAACTCCCTGCTGCCCACATGGACCTGCCTCTTCTGTACCTTTTGCAGGCTGGGTGACAGGTAGCCTCTCTCATCTGAAATTTTCAAGGTTCATCATGTTGTGGCATGTTAACAGTACCTCATTTCTTTCCTTTTTCTGGTATTTTTCCTTTTTTTTTTAAAATTATTTCTTTTAGTTTTAGGTGGACACAATGTCTTTATTTAATTTTTATGTGGTGCTGAGAATCGAACCCAGTGCCCCACGCATGAGGCGAGCACTCTACCACTGAGCCACAACTCCAGCCCTACTTATCCTTTTTTTCTCTATCAATGAGCCACATCTCCAGCCCTTAAGATAGGGTCTTGCTAAGATGCCCAGGATGGCCTTGAACTTTTGATTCCCCTGACTCCCCCCCCCCCCCCGATCTCTGGGATTATAGATGTATGCCACTGTGCTTGGCATTTCATATTTCATATTTTTTTTTTTTTTTACAAACACAGAACACTGCCCTATGCAGATAACAGCACATTTTGTTCATTCACCCACTGACTGACAGGTATGGGGGCTTCCCTGTTCTGGTCATCAAGAATAATGGTACTGAGCACAAGCTTCTGTGGAGCAAGTGTTCAACTCTCTTAGGTACACACATCTGGGAATGATATGTTGGGCTGATTATGGGGCATCACATTCAACTTTTTCAAGACCAGCCTGCCTATTTTCCAGAGTGGCTACATCATCTTATCCTGTCAGCAGTTCATGAGGACTCATCAACACTTGTCAGCCCGACTTTCTAACCTAGCATCCCAGTGGGCAGGGAGTGGTGGACCATGGCTAACTACAGCCTCTTCACAAGCAGTGGTGATGAGTGATAAGCACTGCTGCATGTTGGCTGGCCATTTGTTCTCCTTCTTTGGAGAAATGCCAGGAGGGTGATATTCAATGTTTATTATATGCCAGGTACTTGAGATTATATAGATTTTTTATTAATCCCTCATAACAATGCAAAATGGTTTTAAACTCCCTATTTTACAAATGGGAAAACTGACACCAGAGAGATTAAATTACAGATTTGCATTTGAAAAAAACATTTTTGCAGTGCCAGGAATTGAATCCAGGGCTTCATACATGCTAGACAAGTGCTCCTTACTAAGCTGCATCCCCAGGCTCACATTTGAATTTTAAATCCAATTAAGAAGCATTCTTACCTATATATGTAGATAAGAAATCTGTTTCACTTTCAGGTATTCCATGTGTTTTAACTACGGCAGTGAGCACTTCACTCACTCCACCACATACCAACCAAGCACTCAGCACTTTATGTGTGTAGAAAGCAACCTACCCAAGGACACCTGGCCAAAAGAGCCTCTCTAGATGTGCCCCCAGCTTTCACTAGAGTAAATGTGCACTGAGAGGTGACAGGGACTTCCAGCCATGGGAGCCTGGGAGTTCAATAAGGAGACTGCTCTCTGGATAGACCAGGAGCCACAGGAACAGGATGTGTGCGAGCACATCAAACCCAATCTCAGGAAGAAAAAGAAGCAGCTCCACTGCCCACAGGAAAGCCTCCAAAGGTCATTACACTGTTTTTGTAACCAGAATACGATCAAGACTTTGGATTCTGTGATAGATTAATATCACCACAGAAGTCCTAACCCCTAGCATCTCAGATTGTGACTTACCTGGAATGTGGTCATTGCAGATATGAGATGAAGTCACAATGAATGGCATCCCCATGAAAAGGAGACTTGGAGACAGACATATACATGCACTTTTGAAGACAGGCAGAGTTCAAGTACAGCAACTCCCAGCCAAGGGACAAAAGAACTGTGGGTGCCTGCATGTTCCCCTCACCCTCAGTGGAACCCAATCCACTTGCAACTTCACCTCAGACTTCTGGCCTCCAGAAGTGAACCCTGCTTTCTGGGGTAGAGGCCACTAGGTCTACCATATTTGGCCATGGCAGCCCTGGTAAACTATTCAAGACTGCAGAATCCAATCCTGCCGCAGTCTGGCTGGGCACAATCAGGAGCCACTTGTCAAAAGAAACTAACTTTATTTTTAGAACCACACACGCCAAACAAAACAGCCTCTCAGGAAAAACCCTCAGAGCCTCAACTGCCACCACCGGCTTTCCACAAGCCTCTCTCTCCCACACAAGCTTCTCTCCACCTCCCACAATCCTCCTGCTCTTGAGGCCGATTGGCTGGGTCACGTGGGCGGAGCCAAAAAAGTCCCCCAATGAGCAGCTCCGGGGTCTGAAAGGGCAGGGAAACAGTCCAATGAGCATCACGGCAGAAGAGCCAATCAGCTAGATGTTGCTGGGGCCGCTGTGAGCCAATCATCAGCCAGCAGCTGGAAGTTTGCTGGCAGCTGGAAGTTTGCTGGGGCCCCTTGGGCTGTGGCTCTCAACACAATCCCACAGGAAAAACACCTTGACCCCTCTGCAAGGGTGAGGTAGCAATTAACTGAGACCACAAACACCAGTCAGCTACACAGGTTCTTAAGAACAGTGGTGGGTGCTCCTTCAGGTGTTTATTTGCTTCAGCTCGTGAAGGTGTGTGACCCTTAGCCCTCCAGTTCTCAACAGACCAGAGCAAGTCCAGGGAAGGGCCCCATGGCACCAGCCTCAGTATCTGTACTTGGTGGAGTAGTCCTTGGGGGACACCACCAGGCCCCGGCCCTTACGGGCACCACGGTATACAGTCTCAATTATGTCAACCATCTCCTGCTTGTCTTCCATGGCCCAGTTGATCTTGTTGTTGTTGCCTGTGCCCAAGTCAATCATGATGTGCTTGTTCCTGCAAAGAGAGAAAGGCACCAGTGCACACAGCAGATTCCACAAGAGCCCCGCCTTCCTGCTGTTACAAATGCTTGTTGCATCACTGACAGATACATACAACCAAAAGGAGACCTCGGATCAAGAAAAGGCTGAGACACCAAAATGCTATTTCTAAAAACCACAATGCAGGGCTGGGATTGTGGCTCAGCGGTAGAGCACTCGCCTAGCATGGGCGAGACCCGGGTCCGATCCTCAGCACCATATAAAAATAAAGGCACTGTGTTGTGTCCATCTACATCTAAAACATAAATATTAAAAAATGCATTTTTTAAAAATCAAATAAATAAATAAACAAACAAATAACACAATGCAGGGACATCAAACTCTTTCTAGACTTTTCTATATGTCCTTTGGACAAATATCCTAAAGGGATAGTCAGAGGTTTGTATTAATTTTCCTGAAAAGCAGTAAGTTTTTCATGTTGCTCTTAAAAGTCCCTGGCACAAATTCTACAAAAATCCCACCCATGACATTTTGCATCTCCAGGACCAGGGAAGTAGATGACCCTTTTAGATACTTGTTTTTCAAGAGATTAGACTTCTATCTTAGGAATTCATACTTGCACCGTCCAGAGTAAAGCTGCTAACCCTCTTTTGCACTTGCTTGATTTTTCCTGGTTTGTTGAAGACAGATTTTTACTAGTACAATTTCTCACATTTATAGGATCATATGTCCAGTTCAACCCTGTTCAATAAGCTTGTTTCTCAGGAGGCCTCTCATTTGGTCTCCCCTCAACCAAAGCAGCTACCACTCATCTGATGTCACTCTTTGTATCAAATATCTGCTTTCAGGGTGACATTCCAGGTCCACACGCTGGCCCAGAAACCCGGGATAGGGACCTCAGCTGTTCCTGTGCTCAGGTGCTAGCTAGGTCAGTCCTGTCCTGTGGTTCACCTTCAGGGCCCATGTGTGGCTGTGAGGGAGCAGGCTCATCCAGAGTGAGAGTCCCTTGCACATTTCCACAGCCCAGTTTGATACCTACATCTCTGTACATACTGTCCTCTGGCACTTCTACTCCCATTTGAACCACCTATCTGTCCCTATGTCCCAGCTCAAGACCATGAAACCTGGAGGCACTCAACATACATATCCAGTGTATAGGGTGACTAAAGTGCTCACATTACTTATGCTAGGTAATAGAACAACAGCAGCAAGTTTCATCTCCTTTTCTAAGTAGACCATCAGTCCTAAAAACCACAAATACACAAAGTGTGCCCCTGCCACCACCCAAAGCTGTCTCCTACCTTCCTTGCCCACCAGACCATCTCCAGCCCCAAATGGCCTCCCTAGCTCACCTGAAGAGAAGAGTCAGCTGCTCAAAGGCAGGAAAGGGATCCTCCTACATGGTGGAAATAACAGGGTCACAGTGTCCTACAGTTGTGAAATGCAGGATTTATGAGCTCTGAGCTAAGATATCTAGCAGAGGAAATTTCCAAGCAAAGACTTGACAGTGCAAGCCTGGTTTCTTCTTGCAACTTATAGTAAACTGAGAGGAAATCAACAGACAAACTGGTATAAACAGCTAACAAGAATAATAAAATGTCAAGCGCGATGGTGTACACCTGTAATCCCAGTAGCTTGGGAGGCTGAGGCAGGAAGATAGCAAGTTTAAAGTCAGCCTCAGTAATGTGGAGAGGTCCTGAGTAACACAGTGAGAACCTGTCTCGAAACAAAACATAAAAAAGGTCTGGGGTGGCCAGGGCCTGTAATCCCAGCAGCTCAGGAGGCTAAGGCAGGAGGATCGCAAGTTCAAAACCAGTCTCAGCAATTTAGCAAGGTGCTAAGCAACTCAGTGAGACCCTGTCTCTAATAAAATACAAAATAGGGCTAGGGACGGGGCTCAGTGCTCAAGTGCCAATGAGTTCAATCCCTGGTAACAACAACAACAACAAAAAACCAACCTGGGGAAGTGGCCCGAGTGCTTAAGAACTCTGGGTTCAATCCCTGGTTAAAAAAAAAAGGAAAAGGAGGAGAGAAAAAGGAAGGAGTGGGAGAGAGGGGGAGGGGGGTAGGGTGAGGAAGAGAAGAAGGGACAGGAAGAAGAGATTCTTAGCTTTTGCAAGCAACAAGATGCTGAATTCCACAATGACTGCTGACTGTGTGGAACAAAGAAAAGGAAGAGCACATATGGCCTCTTGCTGAGAACCAGAAAAGATCACAGGTCAGTGCACCCAGGCCCAGGTGATGAGGGTATGCCTCACAGGTCTTCTCAGCCCACGGGAGGCATCTGGAAGCCTGGGCATCGCCATCAGAGCTTACAATGTGTCATATGGGGGAAGGTATCCCCCTTGACCTGAAACTGTGAGAGGCAGAGAGAAGTGTTGGAGGAGGTAATGGCCCCAGTGCAGTGGCAAGATGCAGGATGGCAAACTACCCACCTACAAACCTCAACTGCAAAAGGGTACTTGGGCAGAAACTGTCCCAAAATGTGGAACATGGGGTCAGGAGGGCCAGCCCAGGGCCTCGCTGTCCAGCCCTGGAGGGAAGCCTCCCAGTTTTCTGCATTTCCCTAGGCCTAGTCCTCTGTTGGGGTGTAGCCTCACTTGTCTCAGCTTCACAAGTAAAGAAGAGGGTCCCCTGCAAAGCCTTATGCGCACCCAACATAGGTGATGTGGAAAATGTGATTCTGGACCTGATTCGGTCCTGAGATGGGGTCCTCAGTAACCCTGGTGAGGAATATTCTGCTTAAGGGAGAGATGCGAGGCAAGCACTTTACCACTGAGCTATATCCCCAGCCCGCTGGGGATGCAAATCCTTGGAAACAGAGAGCAGACTGCAGGAGGCAAACTCCTAAAATGCTTCCCATAATTCTGTGAATACAAAAAGGCTTTATAGTGCTGGGGTTGTGGCTCAGTGGTATAGCATTTGACTAGAACATTAAGGCACTGGGTTTGACCCAACACTAATAATAATAATAATATAAAGTTTTAAAAAAGTTTAAAAAGAGGATGGGGGGCCTTCAAGCCAGGCATGGTGGCGCAAACCTGTAATCCCAGCAACTTGAGAGGCTGAGGCAGAAGGATCAGGAGTTCAAAGTCAGCCTCAACAATTTAGCAACGCCCTAAGCAACTTAGGGAGACCTTGTCTCTAAATAAAATACAAAAAACAGATGGGAATGTGGCTCAGCAGTTAAGCACCCCTGGGTTCAATCCCCAGTATCAAAAAAAAGCTTCATTTCTGTGACTCTGTTACACTGAAAAGGAAATTTTACAGATTATGGTCCCTAATCAGTTGCTTTAAAATAAGGAGGTTACCCTGGATTGTCTGGGTGATCTAACTAGAACTGGAAGTGAGAGGGTATGCAAAGGACTCCACACACCCAACACTGCCATGGAGGTACAGGGCTCTGAGCAGAATAGGCCAGATGACAGCAGCAAGGAAACAGGCCTCAGCCCCACTGTGAGACCTGCATCTGGTAACAACTCCAGCAAGCCAAGGTGGACTCTCCCTAGGCCCTCCCCAAGCACCCAGGCCATGGTTCTGGTCTCTGAGACCCTCAGTAGAGAACTCAGTTGGCCCTGCCAGACATTGCACCTCCACAACTGTAAGCTCACAAACGGGTGCAAATGTATAGCACTATCATGCAGAACATAAACTAAAGCACCCCCATGCAATCCCAGAGGTTAGGAATCGCCTGTTCTGGAATACAGCCAACACTGACACTGCTTTTACCAACTTCTGTGGTAACTACCATAGAAATTTTGTCAACAATAGTGTGAAATGGTGATTTCTTTCCAAATTAAATACCCACAACATAATTTTTGAGCTGAGAAGATAAACTTGTATTTGTGAGAGAGTAATGACATTCAGAGTTTGCTCTTACGACAGAACATTAAATATTAAAGTCACTGACATCACGCTTAACAAGTGAGTTATTTTAAAACACTTTTCATCCACAGATTGCATGTAAAGGCATCTAAAATGTCAATGAGGGTGTCTTCCATTTCATTCCACTTCACCCAAATTTCTGGGCAAAGTTACTTCAAAGGGTAACTGGTCACTGAGTAATGCTAAAATGGAAACTGTCACTTTGAAAACCATTCAGCGTCACTGATCAGCTTGTGTTATAACCTGCATCATGAAATGGCTCATTATTAACACACTCCTTCTAGGCTATAGAATCTGGTCCAAACCAACAATATGTCATGTAAATAACAACTTACCTGAAGAAAAACATGACAGTACATGGATCGTATAATTCATACATTTTGTTGAAGTCAGGTACTTCTGTAATATCCACAAGATAAATAACTGCAAAATTTTTTACCTAAAAAGTAAAGAGATTAAAAATAACAGATTGATTTGACTTTCATTCCATAAAAATCACATTAAAAAATCAAAAGCTAGAATTTATGTAAATTGGACAATTTTTTTCAAACCACTTATCCAACATTTCCCCCACAGTGCTAACACTTAAGAAAACACCATGACACGGCCAGCATCCTGACCAGCTGGCTACTCCAAATTGCACTGTGACCTCGGATGGCCAGGAGCTAGCCAAACTTGACTTAAGCAGCTAGCTGCCAAAGCCCTGCAGAAAACAGACCAGACGCATCACGGCACACAAACTTGGTGTAACCCAGGAGGCCCTCCACAAGTACTCATGACAGCAACACTGCTGAGCAGGCCTGGAGAATCTGCCCATGCAGCCCAGCTGCTCAGGCTTGAACCCTTGCAAACATGAACAGCTAGGACCCCAGCTGATAATGTGCAATTTCTAGTAATTTTTTCTTTAATTACAAGCTCATCAGAAGTTTAGGGAAATTTTTTTTTTATTTTTTATTTTTAGTTGTAGATGGACACAATACTTTTATTTATTTATTTATTTATTTTTATGTGGTGCCGAGAATCAGACCCAATGCCTTACACATGCAAAGCAAGCGTTCTACAAATGAGCGGCAACCCCAGCCCCACAGAAAAATTTTTAAGACTAAAAACACCTCCAATCCCACACTCAGAGAAAAACATCAGTATTTCTGAGAGATTCTGTCCCACCTTTTTTCCTGGTTATATTTGTAAAGTTTATTTATACTGTTTTAACAAAATGAGGTCGTATTTTGTATACTGCTCTAATATAAGCATTCTTATGCAAATTACCTACTTTCCAAAAACATAGTTCTCATCCCTGCATGCTATTCCACCAAGCAGCTATGCCATTATTTTACCAGTCTTCTCTTGTTTTCCACAAACACCTGTCATTCACCTGGTATACTTTTGGCCTTAAGAACAAATGCTAAAATACAATCTCAGGAACAGAGCATCTTGACATGTTAAAGGCTCCTTATAAACTGTCTCAATGCCCTCTAGGAAGCATAACCAACTTACCTGTAACATTACTGCTTGAACTGCAACTGCCCCAAAAGACAGGAAGTCCTAACTCCCAAAACTGAGAATGTGACTTATTTGGAAAGAGGATCACTGAAGAAGAAATCAGGTAAGAGGAGGTCATCCTGCAGGAGGAGAGCCCCGTAGATAGATGCAGTGGCCCACACCTGTAATCCTAGTGACTCTGGAAGCTGCGGCAAGAAGATTGCATATTCAAGGCCAAAATAGACTGGAGTATAGCTCAGTGGTAAATCACATGAGTTCAACCCTCAGTTGCGGGGCGGGGAGGGAAGAAAGACATGGGAACACAGAGTCTCATGTGATGGGGTCCGTAAACCAAGGGAATCAGAGGGGCTGGTAACCACCAGAGCCCAAAAGAGACCAAATGTCTCCCTTTGAGGATCCAGAGAGCACAGCCCTGGCCACACCTTGACCGTGGACTCCTGGTCTCCAGAACTGTGAGAGAATTTCTATCATTTCAAGTCCTCTAGGTTGTGGTTTCTCACAGCAGCTACAGGAAACCAGTATGTACAATATGCCTTTCCATAAAACCAACTCTAAAATCCTGACCATCACCTACAGATGATGACATGATCCCTGGGATCTGCTCTAAGTATCACAGCATGGCAAACAAGGTTTAGAAAACACAAGACTTGGGGCTGTGGCTGTGGCTCAGCGGTAGCACACATGCCTGACATGTGTGAGGTTCTGGGTACTATCTTCAGGACCACATATAAACAAATAAATAAAATAAAGATCTATCAACAATTTTAAAAAAATTATTAAAAAACTAAGCTGTCTTTAAAAAAAAAAAAAAGAAAACACAAAGACTGGCAAATGCTGACACTTGTAGAGGTTGAGGGAGAAAAACCTCACTCATTGACTGCATGCTTCACTTTTAGAATATTACCAAACAAACAAAGCAACAAACCAGCCAAAAACAAAACAAAACAAAACAAACCTCACTAAGGAAATTTAAACCGTTTCTGGAAAGACAGAGTTGACCTGTGGTGAGACCTCCACCTGTCTGCCTTCCAGCTGTGGTGCAGAGATTATTATGGAACTCTGGCATGAGGGGCACCTGGTGTGCCTCACTGCCCACATGTCACTCTGCAAAACCCTTCATGTGAGGCTTTCACACAGTGATAATGCACATCCTCCTCTTGGTCAGGCAACTCATGAACACACACTTCTCCAAGACTGGTTTCCCACACCATCTGCAGAGGGAATGTAAATGTCAGGTCCCTAGGACCAGCTTTATTTTCAAAGTAAACTGGTTAAGTTGTATTCTGGCTTTAAATAAAACCAAACAAACTCTCATCACAGGAGCCAAGACATGGAATGGTTGCAGGCATTGGGAAGGGGAGCCAAGCTGCACTTCTACCCCAGAAGGCTTGCTCAGGAGCAGACACAGTGAATACCAACCACACAACCCTGAAATCTGTGGGCACTGAGTACCCAGGGAAGCCACATGTTCAAGACACAGCATGCACCTCCTGTGCTCTAGCTTATACCCATGTTATCTCCCCCTGTCCATTCCAATAGACTATCATGTCCAGCTCTGGTACTGCAAGGACCCAACTGAACTCGTGGCACACTGAAGTCTGGCTCAGGGACACCCAGAATACACCCTGCACAAAGCACTCTTCACTCATAAATTCTAAGTCTACACCTCTAAATAAAGGCCTTGCTGATGTTTCTCATATAATGAAAGCAAGACTCAGAAAGGTCATGACTTTGAGCCACATGGAAAGTGGCCTGTGTCTGTCCAAAGCCCATGCTCTAGATGAGATCTCCGAAGCCGAGTTTTGAAGGAAGAGTCCTGCCCAAAGCAGGCCAAGGCTGCAGGAGGGTGGGAATCCGTCAAGCAAAGAGAACACCAGAATAAAGAGAAAGAGGAGACAGCAGCCAAGTTCCAGACTCAGCACCTGAGATGAGGAAGTAGAACACAAGAAGGTGCAGCAGTGGTGCAGAAGGACCAGACAAGGGACCTACCTTCAGGAGGCTGGGGAGGCATCTAAGCAATCAGATTTGCACATACCAAGCTAGAGAAAGTTGAGGAACGTCCCTACAGGTGGAACTACATTTCCCCAGGGGCAGCTGCAGCCAGGAGGAAACTCTTCAGAAAACAGAGGTGGTTGCTTTGTCCCATGAGTCCTCACCTGGCCGAGCACTGACTTCCTCGGGACCCACCACCTCTGTGACCCTTAATGGGATGATCAAGACGGGTTCTGAACATCATCCTTTAAAAGTCCACAGATGTATCTGCCTTGGAGATACATTAGACTGCACTACTGTATGTCAAGGACATCACTGAAGAGATTTGAAATTCTATCTGCCTGGGCTCTTGAACACATGAAAAGGTCCCATCTATTCCTACTCATCAAGGAATTTAGAGAACAGTGAATCCAAAGCACTGCTGTGACAAACCATATTCCCACAAAATGCTAGAACAGTTCACAAGCACATGGAATACCCTCTTTGGCAGCTACACAGGAAACTCTAACACACTGTCCTATACTTATTGAGCTCCATGAATCTGTAAGACACACACATTTAAGTGTATCTGTTTTCAGACTAACTTTCTCCATTAAGTGTTCAGCATGAGGTGGGGGTGGGTGCTGCAGGAGCAGCCAGTCCACAACACAGTCTGAACTTGTGGAAATTGTACTCACTTTTAGGCAGCTGAAACAGTCAAACAGGGCTTTTGACAAAATGAGGAAGAGGCCCCACAATCTGCCGATGCTACAGAGGGAGATTTTTTAAATTATACTGTTCTTTATATCCAAACCTTAAGTTTCAAAAACTGCTGTTGAACATTGCCAAACGACTTTACTAAGAAAATAAATAATACTTTTAGAGATGCGGTCTCACTGAGTTGCTTAGGACCTAAGCTGCTAAGGCTGGCTTTGAACTGGGATTGAACTCAGGGGTACTCGACTACTGAGCCACATCCCCAGCCCTGTTTTGTATTTTATTTAGAGACAAGGTCTCACTGAGTTGCTTAGCACCTCACTATTGCTGAGCTAGCTTTGAACTCGTGATCCTCCTCCTTCAGCCTCCCGATCCGCTGGGATTACATGAGTGTGCCACCATGCCCGGCTGTTAACATTCCTTTTTTTTTTTTTGGTGCTGGGTATTGAACCCAGGGCTTTGTGCATGCAAGGCAAGCATTCTACCAACTGAGCTATATCCCCAGCCCAATAGTCTTTTAATACATTTTAAATTTGCATTTTTAGTAACTAAAACACAATATTTTTTTAAAAAGCTTATTAAACCCAGGCACAGGGTGAATCTGCTCCCTCCTAAGAGCTTCCTGCTGAGCTCCACCTGGTTCTGCAGAGCCAAAGGCCCTCCCATTCCCAGTTATCCCCGCGGATCAGGGTTGGCATAGCCACCCCTGAAAGGTGAACAGCAAAAGATTCCAGAAGCTCTGCCCAAGTTATTTCAGAGTCAACACAGCAATGACATGCTTTTTTGACTATTCTCTGAAGTAAAGCAGCATCTGCCCTTGTCCACAGAGGCTTTCGCAATGCAGAAATGATCCCCTATAGGACCCTGGCTTGCAGGACCCCAACACACTCCCCATGCACCTCCAGTCCTCACTATCTTGGCATCTGATAAGAAGTAGCTGGGAAATGGTTGATAATCAAAGTTCCCCTCTGACCCTGACCTGAAGGGTTCCTGAAAGTGAGACCCACAGTCAAGTCATGCCACAATTCCCTCAGAAGTTTCTTTAAAAACTGCCCCAGATGGGCTAGGGATGTGGCTCAAGCGGTAGCGCGCTCGCCTGGCATGCGTGAGGCCCAGGTTCGATCCTCAGCACCACATACAAACAAAGATGTTGTGTCCGGCGAAAACTAAAAAATAAATATTAAAAAAAAAACCGCCCCAGATCAACAGTATCCAAATCTCTGATTTGCACTTCTGAAGCACTGCAAGAGACATCTGTTTTGACTGAAATGCAGAAACAGTTCAACATTGCTTCTCCTAAATAGGATAGCAAAAATTAACCAAAGGGCAGATCAGTGTTTCCTTTCCTACCAAAAAAACACATCTTATATCTACTCCCATTTACTCAAAGGAATTACTTTAACCCAAATTACATTAACTATTATGAGAGCAAAAAATAGCTTCAGAGTTCCTGTAACTTTTACTCTTCATTATAATAATCTCAAATTATTTGTGGAACATCAGAATGTTAGATATTTCACTATCACTTTACTATCTTTATCTTCTACCCTACTGTTACAATTACAAAAACCCCAAATAAAATTCTTCCTAAAGCTATCAAAAGAAATTTACAGGAAAGGAATAAGACCTTTGACCATACACGAATGCCCTACAAATGCACTTTTTCTATCAGCAAACAAGTGCTGCAGACCACCCAGTGTATGAATGTGAAAAAAAATCAGGAAAACTCTAACCACACATGCTTCTGTTTCCTCTTAGTGTATTCTGTGCTTGAATAATTCCAGCTACAAATGAAATGATTTCATAAGAAGAAAGGATTAAAGCAAAAACCAACCAAAAGAAAAAATTATAAGCTGGGCGCTCTAGCGCTGGCCTGTAATCCCAGCAGCTGAGACAGGAGGATTTTGAGTTCAAAGCCAGCCTCAGCCAAAGCAAGGCGCTAAGCAACTCAGGCAGACCCTGTCTCTAATAAAATACAAAAAAGGGCTGGGGTTGTGGCTTAGTGGTCGAGTGCCCCTGAGTTCAAGCCCCAGTACAAAAAAAGAAAGAAAGAAAAAAGAAAAGTATAGGATTTACCAAGGTGCAAACCCAAAGTTCTTTTTTAAAAAATTTTTTTTGGTTGTAGATGGACATAACACCTTTATTTATTTATTTTTTTAAAGAGAGAGAATTTTTTTAATATTTTTTTTTAGTTTTCGGCGGACACAACACCTTTGTTTGTATGTGGTGCTGAGGATGGAACCTGGGCCTCACGCATGCCAGGCGAGCGCGCTACCGCTTGAGCCACATCCCCAGCCCTATTTATTTATTTTTATGTGCTGCTGAAGATTGAACCCAGTGCCTCACACACGCGAGGCAAGGGCTCTGCGGCTGAGCCACGATCCCAGGCCCTACAAGTTCTCTTTATAAACACAAAGATAACAAGGAACCCAAACAAGCACAATCCAAGGACTGAACACCCACGGGGCTGGGGCTGCGGCTCAGTGGTAGAACAGAACGCTGGCCTAGCATGTGGAGGCACTGGGTTCGAGTCTTAGCACCTCATACAAATACATGAATTTAAAAAAAGGTTCTTCAACATCTAAAAAGCATCCAACAGAGGCTGAGGTTGTGGCTCAGCGGTAGAGGGCGCGCCGGCACGTGCAAGGCCCTGGGTGAGATCCTCAGCATCACTAACAACAAGTAAATAAAAGTCTTGTGTCCAACTACACCTAAATTCTTTTTAAAGCATCCAACAAAGCCCGCAAACGTTTTTGTTCACTGAACCATAAATTAAAAGAAAAATTGCTACCTCTTAAAAATTTGGAAAACTACGGACGCTTCTGACAGAAACAGAAGGCCATCTTCACAATGCCGGGAGCCACGCCGCCGCTACACGGGTCCCCGTTGCTCGGGCCAGAAGGGCCAGCACGGGGCCGCTGCCGGCGAACGCGGAAGGGTGAGGAGCCAGGCCGGGCCGTTACCTTCTCCGCTATGCTGTACAGAACCTCGTCCATCTTCATGCAGGTGGGGTCCCAGTCGTGCCCGAAACGAATGACCACGACGCGGTCCTCCTCCGAGAGGATGGCCTGGTCCACCTGCCAGCCGTTGTGCAGGTGGGGGAGCATGTACGACATGCTGGCGTGGCCGGGCGGTGCGGCAGGGCGCCGCGCGAGCTGCCTGCAGGCGACAAAAGAGCAGAAGTCGCGCGACTGCGGGACCCCCGCGCCCCCCCGCCCCATGGGCCCCTAGCCCAGGCCCCCGTCCATCCCGTGGGACCTCGACCCACCCCGTGGGAGCCCCGCTCAGTCCCCCGGCCCATCCGGGCCCCACCTTGCCCTCTGTCTCCGGGTCTCGTCTGGCCCGCACCTCCCGGCCGCACCAGCGCCTCCCGCGCAGGGGCACTTCCGGAATCACGCTCTGACGCATACGCCTGTGCCGGCGGACGTGGCGTCAGCCGCCCGGACGTGCCCTTGGCCGCGCCTGCGCGATGCAGGTGACAGGGGTGGAGGCCGTCCGGGCGCATCTACGCCTGCGCGCTGGGCGGGCGCGGCTTCGCTGGGAGCCAGCGGTTGGTTCTTTCTTTCGTCGGGTGGGGAAGCGGTGTTGTGCTTGGCCGCCTTTACCCGGCACCAGCCTCCCCGACCGAGAACCTCCCTGTGAAAGCCACCACCCTGTTCCCCCGCAGCCGGACGTGGCCTGTCCCTGCTCCCGTGCCACGGTAGCGAGGCGCCTCCCTACTGTTACAGGGCCTTCCCCGAAGCCGGCAGCGCGAAGACCCCCCCCCGGAACCCCATATGGCCGTCGCGGCAGAAGGATCTCCGACCTGCCTCGGCGGGCATGAGTTTATTGGAAGGGTAGGAAAGGCGAAAAGCGGGGGCTGAAGGGAAAAAGTGGGTCCGATCGCAGAGGAAAGGGTCAGCGTGACTTTTCCGCATCTGGTTTTATTGAGATCCCACTAAAACTCAGAGGGAAGTTTCCAGAGAATTCCACCCACGTCCACCTCTTGACTTAACATCATGCTAAGTGAAATAAGCCAGTCCCCCCCAAACAAAGGCCAAATGTTCTGACAAGCAGCTGACTCACAATGGTGGGGGCGTTCACCGCATTGGACAGGGGGCATGGGGGGGAAGGGAGGGGGAAGGGGAATGGGAAAGAGTAGAATGAATGGGGCATAACTTCCTTATGTTCATATAGGAATACACAACCAGTGTAACTCCACATCATGTTCAACCACAAGAATGGGAAGTTGTACTGCAAGTCGGTATGATATGTCAAAATGCAGTCTGCTGTCATGCGTAAATAAAAAGAACAAAAAGTCCTCATTGCGCATGTCAGCTCCAGGTCACTTTGGCCCTTGATGGTTTTAGTTGGATTCTTTTTTTCTCTTAATTTTTTAAATGTTATTGTATTTTTTTATACCTTTACTTGTTTTTATGTGGTTCTCAGGATCAAACCCAGTGCTTCATGCATGCTAGGCAAGCACTCTACCATTGAGTTACAACCACAGACTCTGGAATCTCTTAATAGATTTTTATGGTTAGGAGGAATTATCCTTAATTCAGTTCTGGGCTCTGATCTGCGAAAGAGTCACACAAAGTTCCCCATTTCAGGGTAACGTGTTCTTAAAAGCATTTCAGGATCCATTTCCCTTGCAGATAATGGTTGCTGAGGAATGTAAATATCCTGTTGACTTTAGCCAGGCAGAGATGCAAGTAAATTGCTTTTTAAAAGAGAAAGCATTATAATTCACAATAGGTGAGGGGGTGGGTAGAGGTATTTTTGACTAGAAGAGAGGGGAGTGAAGGAAGGGGAGGGGGCATAGGGGTAGGAAAGATAGTAGAATGAATCAGACATCATTACCCTATGTGCACATACGATTACATGACCTGTGTAACTCTATGTGAGATCAGGCAAGGCGGGCAGCAACCAAAGGAGGCAGATTTTAAAAGACCACAGAAGAGGCTTTATCCTAGATATCACTCCCAGGCGGAACTCATGAGACCAACAGAGTGGACAGGAGAAGGGTCTGAGGAGAAACCGGGTGGAAGCTTGACCGGATTGGACATTTATGGGGCTTACAGCAGGAAGGGAAGGGTTTGGGACAGGAAAGGGGATTTTTAGGGTCCCATGTCCTGCTGGAGTTGATCAGTTCAGCTGGCTGAACTCCAGGATTGGCCAAGGATTCTGCTGATTGACAGGCCTTAGTCAGGAGACCCTGCTGATTGATAGGCGTTTCCATCAGCGCCTGATTGATGTTTCTTTCCAGTTCTAAGTCTCCGCCACTGACCTGACATTCTACATCATGTACAACCAGAGGAATGAGAATTACTGGTAGGTGAGAAAAAAATGGGGCTTGAAGGGGGGGAGAGAAGACAAGAGGAGCCAAGTGGAAAGGGGCTGGATGGAGGGGAGGAACAGGGAGCCTACTAGGCGCTGTTGGAAACAGAGTTTGGGAAGAGAGATGGGGCATTGCTCCTCCTAGTGTGCTAAGAGGAAGAGTCATGGGAAGTTGTGTTTTCCAGAAGGTCACTGCATGTTGTGGATACAATCTCCCTCTGATGTGATCTTGAAAGGAAAGTGACCACAGCACTCGGAGCGACCAAGAGATCGTTATTGCAGCAGTGAGAAAGAGGAGAAGAGAGAAAGAGAGAGCAAGAGAGGGGGGCCCTGGCAGGAGAGAGTTCAGACTTGATGCAAACTGCGATAAAGAACCAGACAGGGGCTGGGGATGTGGCTCAAGCAGTAGCGCGCTCGCCTGGCATGTGTGTGGCCCGGGTTTGATCCTCAGCACCACATACAAACAAAGATGTTGTGTCCGCCGAAAACTAAAAAATAAAATATTAAAAAATTCTCTCTCTCTCCCTCTCTCTCTCTCTCTTAAAAAAAAAAAAAAAAAGGAATGGGCGGCACTAAAATTCAGTGGAGAAAGAATGCCAAAGAAGAGGGATGTGTCACCATGTGAAATGCTTGAGAGCAGGTCCAGCATTAAAAAAAAAAAAAGAAGAACCAGACAGGTTGGAGTGCCCTGGTTATCTTGCAGCTAACATTTGTTCAGCCTGCCCTGCACTAACAGATCTTGCTGATTGTTAGAGACTTGGGCAAATTTCTTCTTTTTTTGTTATTTATTTATTAGTGCATTATAACGATACATATTGAACTTATTGTTCTGTGAGTGCCGGGGATTGAACCCAGGGCCCTGGGTATGCTAGGCATAGCATCTCCCACTGAGCTATGCCCCAGTGCCCCAGCACCCTCCTCCCCAGCCTTTTTTTTTTAATTTTTATTTTGAGATAGGGTCTTTTTGAGTTACCAGGCTGGCCTTGAATTTGCCATTCCCTTGCCTTAGGTTTTTCAAGTAGCTGAGATTACAGGCATGGGCCACCATGCCTAGCTACATTTCTTAGGTTTTTTTCAGGGGGGCAGTACCGGGGATTGAACTCAGGGGCACTCAACCACTAAGCCACATCCCCAGCCCTATTTTGTATTATATTTAGAGACAGGGTCTCACTGAGTTGCTTAGCACCTCGCCATTGCTGAGGCTGGCTTTGAACTCGTGATCCTCCTGCCTCAGCCTCCCAAGCCACTGGATAACAGGCGTGCACCTCAGCACCCAGCACATTTCTTGTTCCCCTCTCCTTTGGTCCTCATCAGTTTTGTTTGTGCTTTACTCCAGTGCTCTGGTGCCTTCAGCCAGAGAATGCTGGTGTGCACTGATTGGCTGCCCCAGCTCAGGGTCAGGGGTCCAGACCTCCTCCCACTGGCCAGGAGTCTCCTCCCAGCAGGCTGATCTTTGTCCCTGACTTTTATCTGAGAGAAGCTGTGGAAGGTTCAGCCTACATTTTTCTTTTTCTTTTTCTTTTTTTTTTTTTGGGGGGGGGGGTGCAATTTTCCAGGGTCTTTAAAAGAAGAAAATCTGAGTTTGGAGCCTTAAGTCTGTCAAAGGCAATGTCTACAAAGGTAAATGCTCTTTTTCTTTTTAACTAAGCTATCATCTTATGAGAAGAAATTAATGTTTAAACAATTTTAACAGTTCAAATTGAACAGCAATCAGGAATTGTAAATATCTGAACTGTTACTGTTGGGCAAAAATAAAGCTAAGAAGTTTGATTTTTCCAAATGGATAGGTTTGTCCTCTCAGTCCTCACAACAGAAGTCCAATTTGATTGAGTTTTCCTAGTCGAGGACATTCCTACCCACCCATGCTGCTCCTACTATTCAGTCCCAACATTCCCCTCTCTTGATCTTGTGATGCAGCAATTAGGAAAGAGAAGAAAGCAGGGTCCCTAGTGGGCAGCCTGCACTATGAAAGGAGAGGACTCTGGAGGGCTGGCAGCTCCGGGGACAGAGCAGCAGACCACTGCAGCTAGTGCTGGTGGTGACCTCTCATGGCCGAGGGTCTGTGCCTGTCCCCGGCAGGGTCCTCGGCTGAACTCCAGCATGAAGGAGATGTGCGGAGTCTGGGCTTGAGGAAGGGAAATGTGAGCCTGTGCTCTCTGTCGCTTGTCTCTTCTGACTCAAGATGGACTCCTCTGAACCCGTAAAGAGTCTCAGTCTTTCCCATGTGCAGACACTGAGAATGACAGGGCAATAGCCCCGGTATGGCATGGACAGTGAAGTGGGGTGGGTGCAGTGTCACATTGCATGAAGGTGTGGCAGGGGCACAGTGTCACTCTGTGCCAAGGTAGCAGGAAACACAATTGCAGAGCCCTGGGCTGTCGTGGCCAACCTGTGGAAGTCACAGAGGTGTTCCTATCTGGACAAGGCTGTTTAAATCTTTTTCTGAAGGTCAGAAGTAAGCCCAAGCCTGTGTTTTTTGTTTTTTGGAACTGATCATAGTGTAAGCTTTGATCAGATTTTGAACATTCTTTGGTTTGTTTTCCCCACCAAGCCTCAGGGACCCAAAAACAAAAGACCCAAAAACAAAACCTCAGTGTTTGGAAAGCTGTTGATTTTCTTCATAGAAGGATACTAATGTCTAAAAATCTCATATTTGGGCTGGGGCTGTGGCTCAGCGATAGACCACTTGCCTCACATGTGAGAGGCACTGGGTTCGATCCTCAGGACCACATAAAAAACAAATAAACAAAATAAAGATATTGTTCACCCACAACTAAAAAATTTTTTTAAATTCTTAAAAATCTCATATTTAACCAGAAACAAGGAACCTAAAACTATAATTCACTTTACAGACAAGACATATTTTTTTTTTATTTTCACAGTAAAATGTGGTCAGTTTTGTTTGTTTGTACCAGGGATTGAACCCAGGGGTACTTAATCATGAGCCATGTTCCCAACCCTTTTTTTAAAAACTAACTATTTTATTTAGAGACAGTCTTTTTGAGTTGCTTAGAGCCTTGGGGGTTGCTGAGGCTGGCTTTGAATTCTAGATCCTCCTGCCTCAGCCTCTGAGCTGCTGGAATTACAGGTATGTGCCCAGCTGGTCAGTTTTACTACTTATTTATTGCTGTAAAAGAGTTAAAAATACCACATCCCAAGATATATAGCCCTGATGTATTATTGGCTATTTCAAATTAAAGGCACTTAAGAACATAGCAGGTGCAAAATATCACTGACTTGATTCTGTTCCTTAAGAGCAAGCAAAACTCCTGGGAACAGGTGGTGCATTCTCCTCCCCAGGGGAGATCCATGCTTGCAAACCCTACCACCTGCACTGTCACTTACCTGTGGCAACTGCCTGGCCAAACCCCTGGCCTAGCTAATCTTCCACCACCACTCTGTCCAGTTCACTGTGGAAGCAACTGGCTCAGTGACTCTGGCTCTTCCTTTCCCCATGGGGGCTTCATCTGTTTAACAGTGGACTGGGAGAGTTGGAAAACTGTTTACCTGCTCACATGTCTCACCTGGTTTTAATTCTCTGGCCTAGATGGGGGGTGGAGTCTGCGTTTTTCTCCTCCACAGCTGCTTGCAAGCATTAGCCTGAAACTTAGGACTGAAGCACAGTGTTTATTGTATCCCAGACACTCACTGAGTAGGCTGCCTCAGTGTCTGACCACAGGCCAGGCGAGTGCTCCGGGCTTTGTTATGACTGCTGCCTGTCTTCATAGAATCTGCTGCTAGCACCTCACCTGGCCTCTGCATGAGGCAGGGGTGAGGAGGTGGGGAGTCTAGCCACAGCCCTCCTGGCCAGGAGGTCACTTCCCAAGGCAGGAATAAAAACCCAGGCAAAGCAGGAGGGAGCAGGCAGTCAGGCTCTGTCTGACTTTCAGGTGCCCGAGAATTTGTCCAGCCAACAGGAGAAGCCCAGCCTTGCCGCCTGGATATGCTGGAGCAGGAGATGTGGCACTCTTGTGTGGTTCATGTCTTTCTGTCTGCAGGCTGCAAGAGACCCAGCACTGCCTGGAGTTCTAGTGTTTGGCCTTGAAGGACCCTATGGCATATGTGAGGCTCATGTGGAAGAGCTGCAGAAGCACTTTACTCTCATTACCATGAAGCAATTTTTGGAAAACAAAACAGAATTCAGTCAAAGGATCCAAGCTGTATACCTCTGGGGTGGACGCCCGGTGATTGACCGGGAGCTGCTGCTGAGCTTGCCCTGCCTGAAAATCATTGGCAACTCGGGAGCAGGCCTGGATCACCTGGACCTGCCATTCATTGCCAGCTGTGGTGTGAAGGTGGCCCACACCCCACACGCAGTGTCCACTCCCACAGCAGACCTGGGGATGGCCCTGCTGCTGGCCTCAGCTCGCAGGGTGGTGGAAGGTAAAAATGCTGTTGTTGGTTGTCCAAAGGTTCAGATGATAAATATTTAATAATATACATGTTAAAATAATTTCAAAACACGCAAACAGGTCCTTCTCTGCTTCTGATATCTTTGGGTGACATGTAGACTTCATCTGCTGGGAATTGAGTTCCTTGTTGCAAGGGGGGAAAATTGCAACGCATGCAGTTGAGAGGAGAAATAAAGAATGTCCATGCTCCTCTGCCCCTTTCAATGAATAAAGATTCACTCAAATTACTCAATACAATTTCACTCTATAAGTTCTTAATCAAGAAAATGACAATCCTTCTTAATCAAGAAAATGACGGGGCTGGGGCTGTAGCTCAGTGGTAGAGCATTTGCCTAGAATGTGTGAGGCACTGGGTTCAATCCTCAGCACCACATAAAAACAAATAAATAAAATTAAAGGTTCATCTACAACTAAAAAAGAAAAAGAAAATGACAAGGCTAGGCACTGCAATAGACATAATCAATTCACAGCAAACAATTCTAGATTAATTAATTCACAGCAAGCAATTCTAGATTAATTCTAAGCACTGCAAAACACACTTAATCATGACAGGCTAATGACAGACATTCCCTCTGTGTGCTAAGTTCAAAAGTCTGAAGCCTTAGGCTTTAAGTCCAGCAGATGCACACACACTCTGGTGACCAGGTCTGGAACCAAGGGGCTTTTCCTGGCATCGAGTGAACGACTGTTTGAGGAGGGGGTTGTAGGGAGGAGTTGCAGCTCTCACCAAGGTCCAGATGAGGTGGTAGAGTTTGAGAGCAGTGAGGATCACGCAGAGGCTCAGGAACAATGACCAGTGATGGGATGTCAGATCCTCATTAGGCTCTCCAGCTCAAGTGCATCCTTGTTTTGGCTGGCTGAATCCCTGTTCATTTGCTCTATCATTTATACTAAATTTTGGGGCTTTTGCCCCCCTTTCAATCCTTATCAGCTACCATGGGATTTCTCAGTGACATCATTTACCCTGGGGTCAGAAACTTTTGGTCGGGTGGTCTCCACCCTGATCTTCTTGCCTTTCCCTCTGATCAGGTGAGGACAGCCTGCCAGGGACTTTACTCTGTTTATCAGGGTGTGGGGAAGTAACTTGTCTGAGGCCACACTGGAGGGCTCTGTGGGAGTGCCTAGTGAGACTGCAGGTTTCAACTGGAGTTTTTAAAATGGAGTTGCTTAGGCTCAGGCCCAAGGCCATCCTAATAGTTCCTCCTGGGTGTGCACGGCTTCTGTCAGCATCCATGTCCACCTTGGCTTCTGAGAGCAGTAGCTCCTCTACCACCAGCTCTCACTCATGCAAGTAACAGGGTAAAATATAAGGTAGCCTCAGGACTGCCACAGAAGTGGCAGTGGAAGTCACGTGATCTTCTCCCAATGGGAACTCTGCTGAGAAGCAGTTCTGAGAGAAGGAGCAAGAGCCTGGCTCCTCTTATTCTTGGCTACTGGTCAAGACAGACTCTGAAACAAGTTCTAGCCAGAAATCCTTAATGTGAAATACGCTGCCATTTCAGAACATCCTCTCCAGAGGGTCTGGTTTTGTTCTGAGGAAGCTACCTCTTACTTTTGCTGTCCTCTCTGCGGAAGCACAGAGGACCTGAGCTCCAGCCTCCACATAGGCCTTCTCTGCCTTGAGCTCTGTGGAAAGACCCCTTTGCTAGTGATGCCATTTAACAGCACTGTGCCTGTATGTTTTAGGTTGTCAGTTGGCTGTCTCACCGGACACAAAGCACTTCTCTATAAACTGGTTGGGGCAGGAAGTGTCGGGGGCCACTCTGGGGATCATCGGCATGGGCACCATTGGCTATAAGATTGCGCAGAGGGCCAAAGCATTTGAAATGAAGATTCTGTATCACAATAGGAACCGCAGGTAAGGCTCAAAAAGTTGACCCTTGGTTGAGCTCAGTAGAGCTATGGCTGCCCAAGCATGGCCAGGAGATTCCCACTCTCACCAAGGAAAGCTCATGCCAAGAAGGGGTGGAAGTTTCCTGACAATTCCCTGGAAATGTGGCTCTGACTTCTCATGGAGAAAATACCACTGAAAAGAAAAGAAGTTCACTACATAACACAAGTCCTTTATAATTTCCAAAGTGACTTTTCAGTCCCAGGAGATGCGTTCACACCCACCAAGCCCCAATTAATACTGAGGTGTGCTGGTGCCTCTTCCTGGCTCTTAGGCCTGTGTGGCTCTTCGGCACTGCAGATAATCTTCAGGGAGCTGGTGGTATGCCTGTCTCAACTGCTCCTGCTCAGCAAAGCCACAGGAACCCATGGTGGCCTGTGTGCCTCCTGGCTTTGGGGGTCTCACATCCCTCAAGGGTGAGTGTGCTGCCCTCTGTCCACCCAGTCTCCTCAGCTAACTCAGTGCACCCTCCACCTACCAGGTCTCCACTCATCACAGGCCAAGTCCAAAACTAACTCTGGACTTTTGTCCCTAATGTTGTGCCAAGCCCTTCAGTAGCACTCCCCATTTCCTTTCATTTATTTTTTTTTGAGGGGGCAGGTACTGGGGATTGAACCCAAGGATGCTTTACCACTGAACTACATCCCCTGCCCTTCTTATTGTTTATTTTATTTATTCATTTATTTATTATGTGATGCTGGGAATTGAACCCAGGGCCTTGTGCATGCGAGGCAAGCACTCTATCAACTGAGCTATATCCCCAGCCCTTTTTTTTTTTTTTTAATTTTGAGAAGGGGTCTCACCAAGTTGCCCAGGCTGGAGGATCACCCCTTGAATTTGCGATCCTCCTGCCCCAGCCTCCCAAGTTGCTAGGATGCAGGTGTGCCCTCCCCACCATAGTGCTCCTATTTCCTTAGACGGCACCTACACTCACCCTTCTAGAGTTCTTACCCTCTACCACCAGTGCCTTTAAAAAAAAAAAAATTTTATATAAATTAATATATTTATATATAATATATATATTACTTTTAGGTGGACACAATATCTTTATTTTATTTTTATGTGGTGCTGAGAATCGAACCCAGTGCCTCGTGCTTGCTAGGGGAGTGCGCTACCACTTGAGCCACATCCCCAGCCCCAGTGCCTGTCTTAGTGATGGGCTGCAGAACTCTCACTTCTCTGACAAAACCTGCTCAGGCTGTCTCATGTGCCACCCAACCCAGGGGCAGCTCAAGTACTTATACCACCTTGAATTCCTGTGGCCACTCTCTGCAGACCAGCCAGGCCTTGGCCATTGCTCACAACTGCTGAATGGCTCCTATCGGCTGTGGGAAAAGATGGTTGGTTCCATAGAGCTGGGTGCCTCACATCATGGCCATTGTCTCCCAGGGGCTCCTGGGCCTCCCTTTCAGTCTTACAATATTGCAGGACCCATCTCAGGACAGTACTTTTTTTTTTTTTTTTTTTTTTGGTAGCAGGGATTGAACTCAGGGTTACTCGACCACTGCGCCACATCCCCAGCCCTGTTTTGTATTTTATTTAGAGACAGGGTCTCACTAAGTTGCTTAGCACTTCTCTTTTGCTGAGGCTGGATTTGAACCCATGATACTCCTGTCTCAGCCTCCCATGCTGCTGGGATTACAGACATGTACTTAACTAGCACTCTGGGGTGCTGTTCTAAGATGTCTGCAGCCCCAGGGGTGCCATGTCCTCAGCAGGAGGAAGACATAGGAAGGCTATTACACCTCCAGAAGTGGAGCAAACACTGCACTCAGCTGGGCCTGGCCAAAAAGAATGTGATCATTTTCCACCAAAGGTCAATCATTCCCCAACTCAGGCCCTGAGGGTTCCACCTTGGAGGTTCTCACCTTGCCTCTCCCTGGTGGCTCCACCTAGAGGTTTCCTTCTACTTGGGTTCCCTCTTGCCCTTCCTTGGCAAGGCCCCTGAGATCCTTCTTCCTGCATGCTCACCTCTGGTGGCTTGAGTGTGGTCGTGGGTGCAGGTGATGCAGAGGTGGAGCTTCTCCATGTCTTCACTGCTATCCCCATACCCAGCAGGACTGGCACCTAGGGCAGCTGCTCAACCAACTATTTTTTTTAAATTTTTTATTCTAATTTGTTACATATGACAGCAGAATGCATTACAATCAACCAACTCTTCACATAAATGCATAGGTTTCTGACCTTAAAGAAAATTGGGGAAACTCTTTTCTGTAACAGACATTTGTGGAGCATGGTGAGCTGGTTTTTCAGGTACTGTTTTTTTTTTTTTTTTTTTAATTATTTTTATTAGTTGTTCAAAACATAACATAGCTCTTGACATATCATATTTCATCAGGTACTGTGTTTGCACAAAGAAACATAATAGTCCCAGATCTCAGTGCCACCAGAGGGCAAAGGCAGGGATGCCAGGGCCAAGCAAGTGAAGGGGACAGGGTTTGGGGAACTGGGCAAGCATCTCCCCTCAGGCTACACCTGCCTGTGTTAGAAAAGAATTGTGTCATTTCATATTCCACATCTGAAAGTCCATTGGTGGCTTCCAGGATGCTGTCAAGTCCTGGTGCTTATGATTTCTGTCGAATAATCAGTTGTCTTGGGTGACCAGAATAAGGGTTAAAATTTGACCCAAATAAAAAAAAAAAAAAAGCCACAGTCCTGCCTGCATTGACTCTGTGGGCCTGGCTTTCCATTCAGCAGACAGTACCTCAAGGCCTTTCCTGTTCCTCTCCGGGCATGAGATGTGTTTGCCCAGCCTCCGCTGTCCCTGGAAGCAGGGATCTGGGGATACAGGTTTGGGCCTGGCAACCCTGCAGGGGCTGGATAAGCAGAGTTTCCATAGGGGAGTGAGCCATCCTGAGGACTCCAGGGCTGACCACACTACCAGGCCTTTGGGACTCATGTGTCCAGCTGGGAGTTGGGCCTAGTGGACCCCGCCACTTCCCCTGAGAGACTTCTCCCTGGAAGTGTCACCCACCTGGGCATCTGGCTGAATTTCTGAGGAAGTGATTTCTCTGCAGGAGGTTGGAGGAGGAAGCTGCCGTGGGTGCTGCCTACTGTGCCAGGCTGGAAGACCTGCTGCAGCACTCGGACTTTGTGATGCTGGCTGCCAGCCTGACGCCCCAGACCCAGGGCCTGATGGGGAGGCGGGAGCTGCAGCTGATGAAGCGAAGTGCTGTGCTGGTCAATGTCGGCAGAGGTAGGCCTGTCTGTGATGACCGTGTGGCCAGGAGACATGGCTGGGAGTCTCTAGCTCTGCCCTTGGCTTTTCTTGTCCCCTTTATCCTGAGTGGATGCCCTGGTCCAGAAAATTCACAAAATCCATTTAGATTGGTGGCAGGTGAATTAAGAAAATTTACATTCTATTTAGAAATTTTCCTGAGTTTTGTCTTTACATGACTTTGAACCTCAAGTAAGAATCAAGAAGGATAATAGCTACGATATGGAAGTTTTCATATCACAAGTCAATGTCTGTTGGGATGGAGTGGTGTTGCAATTTGATGCTCTGGGGGGATTTAACACAGTTCCTGGGGATGAGTTTCTGAGGGTCACTTTTGACATTTAGGTGCCAAGAGGCAGCATTGGACACAGATGGTATCCTTGTGATGCTGGTGTGGGGGTGCATGTGAGGGCTGGCTGTTGAGGCAGACATCTGGGCAGTGTGCCCTGTGGGGCTGGGGACATGGTTGAGAAACTCAGCACCCCCAACAGCCCTGAGTATCGCTTAGCTCAGTGACCTTACCCAGAAAGCAAGAACCAGCTCTTGCCATGAAGCTGCACATGGCTGAGTTAATTATTTGAGAGTTGTCTGAAAATTCAGACCTTCAATGAGACAGTTTAAAAGACCAGTGTGCAGCACGCTTTCAGTAGCATCAAGGCCAGTATGCAAACTTCTGGGGCCATCCTTGGCCTCAGTTTGGACTTTCTCCAACAGCCTCTGGGCAGGCATTGGTCGTAACCTAGGAGCAGTGGCTCACAGATGGACTGTCTGTGATGGGCAGCACTATCAGCCAGCAGGTTCTTCACAGGCCTCAGCCTCAGATGCTCACACACACTCTTGCTATTTTGTAAATGGAGTCATGCATCACGTTCTATTTGTTTCATAACTGCTTTTTTTTTTTTTTTGGTGCTGGGGATTGAACCCAGGGTCTCCCACTGACCTGCATCCTGGCCCTCATTTCATTTTTAAATGCAGACATTTGGAGGCTGTTTTTCAATTGAGCCCCTTGGGTGATTTGGGGGAGATGGCATGAAAGTGAGACAGGACCAGGTTTTGGTAAGACCAGGGCTGGGGTACAGGATAATTGTGGGCAGATTTGTAACCTATGAGTCTGTTTAAGTCAGCTTTTCATTCCTGTAACCAAAATACCTGGCAAGAACAACTGAGAGGAGGGGCCAGGATTTCAGAGGTCTTGGTCTACAAACAGCGGACTTAAATGCTGTGGGCTCAAGAGGAGATAGCACATAATGGCTGGAGAGGGAGAGAGAGAGGAGGGAAGGATGGATGGAGGAAGGAACTCAAGAAAGATGCACCCCTCCCCCAGGGGCCTGCCTCCTCTAGCCACGCCCCATCTGCCCACAGTCACCAGCCAGTTTGTCCATTCAAACTAGGATGGACTGATCAGGTTACAGCTCTCAAGAGCCAATCATTTCACCTCTGAACATTCCTGCATCAACACAGGAGACTTGGGGGGAGACCTTTATATGCAAACTATAACATTCTACCCCTGGCTCCCAAAAACTCAGGTCCATCTCACAATGCAACGTATATTCAATTCATCTCCAAGAGCCCACACAATCTTGATAGTTTCTGCTTTCCCTCAAATGTCTAAGTTCAAAGTCTCTTCTGAGACTCAAGGCAAACTCTTGGCTGTGAGCCCCTGTAAAAATAAAAAGCAAGTTACATGTATCCAATACACAGTGGCAGAGAGTAAATATTTTCATTCCAAAAGGGAGAAATAGGGGCATATAAAGAGGGGCCAAAGCGAGACTGAAACCCTGCTGGCAAATGGCTCTCTTAACTCCACCTGCAACTTTGCATACAGCATGGAGGACCCTGGCTGCAAGGTGTTAGCCTCAAAGGCCTTGGGCAGCCTCATCCCAGTGGTATTGCCATTTGCAGTGCATATGGGCTCTCTTTTAGCCTGGCTCTCTCCACAGCCAGCAGCTTTTCTCAGAAGACAGTCCATGTCACTAGCATCTCTTAATTCCTGGAGTCTCCATTCCAGCTTCATTTCACCTTCACAGTTTCATGCATTGCCCTCTCAGGGGAAGCCCGCAGGGACTCCAACCCTGCTACACTTTACCTGGCCTCCCAGGCCTTCTTTTGAAATCTTGGTGGCAGCTTCCATGACCCCTTAACTTTAGTATCCTGCACTCCTGCAGAACCATGTGGATAATGCTGAGATCTGTTGCCAGCTAGCACAGTACCTGGGTAACGGAGGCAATGGCCAGTGTCTCTTTGGGGCATTCTTTTTTCTGCCCAGGAAAATGTAAGCCACCCTAAAACTTAAAGTCTCAAATAATTAGTGAATAACAAAACATAAATATATTCAGAAATGTATTTACAAAAGTGAAGCCCCTGATAGATCCAGTCCACATGGGCGCTGGAACTAGACAGAGAAAAGATGGCTCTGGTTATGTATGTAAAGGGATATATCAAAGGCAGGGATAAGGTTTCAAAGGCAGAGTCTCGCTTCCTCAGGTTTTGCTGACATCTTGGCAAGTCATACCCATCTCAGGTGCTGTGTGGAACACAGAAGAACAGGACAGAAATTCACACTGTCCATGGGCAATTGGCCAGAGAAAATGTCTACTGGTCATTCCCAGACTCCAGATGTTTCTATCCACTAGGCTTCCATGTGCAGTGACCCACATGCAATCCATAGACAGCCTGTGACACTTGGGCCCCCTGGAATCATAGCTGTGGCTCAGCGTGGTGAATCAACTTCCTAGGCACCCCTGTGTATGCAGGACATCCATGATCTTTTCTCAATGAAATTTTTATTTTCTGTACCCTGGAGCCAGTAGTGGAAATGGTCGTACAAATTCCTAAGATGCTCTCAAGCCATTTTCTGTATTGTCTCTGTGCAAAGGACTTAGTTTCTCCTTACTGGCTGTAATCTCTTCAATAAGCACACCCTCCTGGGCCCCAACTTTACATGCACTTTCCTGGCCAGATTGTAAGTTTTAAAAATCCCTTATCTCTGATTTCTGTTCCCATTTTTCATGGAAAACCTGGTCTAAAGGTGCCAGCAATCTCCATGCCACTGACTGAATGCTTTGCTGCCTTGAAATTTTCTCCATCAGATTGATTAGTCCATCCCCTTTTAATTCAGCCTCACACAAAGTCTTGGCATATGGGCAAAATGTAGCCAAGTTGTTTGCCAGAATGTAACACAAGTGGCCTCTAGACCAATTCCCAGCAGAGTCTTCATTTCTCTCTCAAACCTCATGAGCCCAGTCTTTTTTTTTTTTTTTTTTTTAGTGAGAGAGGGAGAGAGAGAATTTTAATATTTATTTTTTAGTTATCGGCAGACACAACATCTTTGTTTGTATGGTGCTGAGGATCGAACCTGGGCCGCACGCACGCCAGGCGAGTGCGCTACCGCTTGAGCCACATCCCCAGCCCATGAGCCCAGTCTTTACTGTCTATAATCCTATCAGCATTCTGGTCTGAGCTTTCACCGGAATCACCCATTCATCTCTGTTTACAATATTTTAAAGCTTTTGCTGTTCACATCTCGAAACTTTTCAGAATTCCTCCTACCAACCAGCTGCAAAGGTTTCTGAAACACATGGTCAGATAGTTACAGTGCTCACACTTCTTGATACCAATTTCTGTTTTAGTTAACTTTTTCTGTTTCTGTGACCAAAATACCTGACAAGAAAAACTTAGAGGAAAGAATGTTTATTTTGGGCTCATGGCTTCAGAGGTCTCAGCTCATAGATGACTAAGTCCATTGCTTTGGGCCCAGGGTGAGGAAGAGCCCAGCGGAGGAAAGCTCCTCAGCTCATGGTGGGATCAGGAAGTGGGCGGTGGGGAGGAGGGACTTGGGGAAGAGGCGTCCTTCCAGACATGCCCCCAGGATTCCACCTTCTCCAGCCATGCCCCACCTTCCCACAATCACCACTAGTCAAATAATTCAAACTAACCTGGTTATAGCCCTCACAATCTAATCAATTTACCTCTGAACTTTCCTGCATTAACATCGGAGCTTTTAGGGGACACCTTACATCCAAACCAAAACACAGCCTCACCTGCAACATGAATCAACTTTGCTGTGGTATTTGAGGGCTCACTGAGCAATGCACACAGTGGGCTGAGGCCTGGTTTTGTTCTAATGATTGGTTGGACATGATTTAAATGTAATTTTAGTGTGAAGTTTGCATGTTCTTTGTGAGGATTTGCATACATTTAAACATGTTTCTGGAACAAAATGAAGACACATTTGAAGCTATAGCTGTATGATGAAACTCTCTTCTCACATGTCAACACCCATGTGGTTGCTGAGGAGTTGTCTCATTCATCTAGGGCTTCTGGTTGATCAGGATGCACTGGTGGAAGCTCTGAAGAATGGGGTCATTAAGGCTGCAGCACTGGATGTGACATACCCAGAGCCCCTGCCAAGGTAACAAGACCAGACAAAATCCAATTTTTTTTTGGATAGAAGGTGGCAAAATGGCAGATGAGTGCTTCTGTTGGCCTTGCAGCCTCAGGGAGCCATGGAACTGTGGGGTGTGGCCTGTCCTACTGTATACAGCAGACTGTCCAGGTTCTGGGTCAGCTTCACCCTGGAAAGGGAGCTCAGAGTGCTCAGGATTGGGCCCCACGGACACTGCACAGAATCTCTGCCTTCTTGTTGGCCTTGGGTGCCTCTTTTACAAACCTTTGTATCTGTGCTGTGCTTCATCTTCATCTTAGTTCTAAGGCTGGAAGTACTTGCACCCTCTACTGTAGTCTGAGTCAGGGGTTCCAGATACATTGCCATCCTTGGGGTCCACAAGATTCTAGTAGGTGTGCCCTTGACTCTTAGCAGCTAGGGCCAAGAGGCCATGGCCCTTCATGGCTACTTCAGCTGTATCCAAATGGTTAAGAGACCCTGTGGGTGAGGCCACATCCATTGCCAATGCTGGCATCTAGTGCTATCCATCAAGTTGGAGTTTGCCTGATCCACTCTACCTCATCACCTTTCCAGGCTAACTGCCGTCCTGGGCCTTCCTCCTGGAAGTCAACTTCCTTTAATCTGCTAGTTCTGATGAATCTCCCCTCTGAACGCCACTCCTCATTAAAAGTGAATTCAGCTTCTCCCATGATGGTAGAACAGCTCTGGCATCCCCTAAAGCCCTTAGCCCTTTTCCACCTTGCGGGCCAGTCTCTAATCAAGCAGGCACATGTGTAATTGTGAGCTCATGGCCTCTGTACGATTAGGATACATGCTTTGTACCTCAAAACATAGGGTCTCCTGAGCTAGGGTTAGCTGAGTGGTGGGTACATGTGGGTGTAATTCTGGGTGTGCCTGAGGTGCCTGCAAACTTCTTATCTCGGGGTGGCAAAATTCTGGTTTCACAGGGGAGGTGAAGCCAGAATACAAAGTTAAAGAAACCAAACAACTCCATGTTTTTCCTAATTAATGTGTATTTCAGAGATCACCCCTTGTTGAAGCTGAAGAACATCATTGTCACACCTCACATTGGAAGTGCAACTCACCAAGCCAAATGGCAAATCATGCAAGATCTGGTTGAAAGCATCCTGGCAGCTCTCCACGGCCTTCCTGTTCCTAACGAAGTGTTGCTTAAGTGACTTGTGAGGACTGAGAAATATAGTAGACTAAATGGGGAAAGCTGTATTTCTGGGTACTTCACATGTCACACCCATCTTGTAGACTGGCTTAAAGTTGCTTAAGAATAATAGGTAATGTTTATTGAAGGCGGCTTGCTGCATGCTTTGCTTCCATTCTCTCACTTCCTGCTGAGGGAAATTGCATCCAGTTATCTAGTCTCAGATGAATTTAAAGGAAAATCCTAGGCTTAGTTTTGATTTGGATTTAGATTGTGTAATGCCAGATTCGTGGGACCCCAATAGATCTCCAGGAGCCGAATCCGATGCAATCACACAAGAATCTTTATTGCAAGCTCAAGCCTGGACTCACAACCGTTCCTGAGACAGTGGTCCCAGAGAGTGAGTCCTGATCCTTTGTTCAGTGAGATTTTACAGGTTTTGGGGGGATACTCTCTGTGTCACAACATCACACAGCAAATCATTCCATACCATGGGAAAATCAAACAACAACTCTAATCAGTATTAGCACATTCACTGGCAGGAACAAGTTAGGTAGGGGTGATTGGTTAGTACTGATTGGTTTAGGCCATGAGGGGCGTACGTGCCAAACTACATGGTTTCCCAACATGTTATCAACTACCATAAACTACTGGGGGGTCATCTGGCACCCAGATATTTTCCCTGTCTCATGCTGATTGGTGGTTGCTAGGGGGTTGCTATAGGTCCTCACCTAGCCTAACTGAGTCAGGGACATCTGGCACCGCAGACCTCTCCTGTTATTTGTAGACAAACAACTCAGCAGGGTGGGTATGTGCTTAGGAGTGCTCTGTGGGTTTTTCCAAGGATAAGGGTCATGCCCCCTTCCTTAGGACAGCCTTGAGGTAGAAGCTGCTGTTATTTATTTTCAAAAATGGAGTCACATCAGTTTCTCAATTAAAACCCTGGACTAGATCTGCAAATCTCGTGAGCTATGTTATCTTCTATTTTGTTATATTCTGATGACTTCTTATATTATTCATTCCCCATACTCAAAGATCACTGTTCATTTCCTTCAATTTCCTTCTCAATAATTACTTCAATAGGTAATTATTGAGAACTCTCAGGCTGCAGTGTTCTCCCAGCTGGGGCTACTGCAGGAAACAAGGCAAGGCCTGCTCTCCGATATACTTTGCAGTGAGGAATACCAACGGGGGTCTGCAGCTGGTGGGAGTGGGGCATAAAGGATGAGGTAGGGACTGCAAAGATTATTGGAAACGGCCATGATTATGGGATCCAGATTAACACACTTTATTTTGGAAGCCTCTAGATAAACAGACAAATGTCTTTGTCTAGATAGATGAGTAAAGAAGTATTACAGGAAATAAGTTTTATGGCAGGAGCAAATAAATTAGCAGTAGAATCCGAAAGAAGAATGCGGGATCCGTCCAACCTGTTGGCTCAGTGTGGAAGGGCCTTCTTATCTACCTCACCGCAGGCTTTCTCCTGCGGGCCTCTGGTCCACCCTGCGGGCTCTGTGTGCCGGCCTCTCGTCCATGTCTCTGCCTTCTCAATCACTTCAGCAGCTCGCCCTTCTGTCAGTTTCATGCTATTTTTAACCTTTCTTTAAAAGTTCATTTTTACTCGGATGCATAAAAACAGTAAATGCATATTAATGGTACCATGTGATGCTTCGATACCTGTGTACACTGCATGGTGTTGAATAACATTAAGAATGTCTATCTTCTCAAACACGGTGAAAACCACTGAAATCTTTTCAGTATTTGAAATTTCAGGGTCACTTGCTTTTCCTATAGCACCCAGCAGTCTTCTGAGCTCCCACTGCTTTCCAGCGCGCAAATGTGTAGGCGGGGCCGCCCTCTCTCTCCCCGCCCACCCGCCTCCAGGCCAATGACAACTGTACGTCATCGCCCCACCCACCATCCTGCCCCCCGTCATCCCGCCCATTCGGCCCGTCGCCCCGCCCCACGTCCCGTCACCCCGCCCCCGCGTCCCGTCGCCCCGCCCCACGTCCGCATCACGTCTCCGCTCCAACCTTGCGCCGGCCTGCGTCTGTCGTCCAGCCTCGGTGTCGGATCCGGGATCCGGCGCCCGCTGGTGCTGGCAGAGTCCTCCCGGACATGTGGGCTGCCGCCCGCGGTCTGTGCTGCCCCGGCGCCGGGGTGCTGTTGCGGCGGGGCTGCGGTGAGGCTGCACTCCACCGCGCCCGCACGCGGAGCCTGCACGGCTCTGCCGTCTCCTGTGGCAGCAAGAACTTGCTCAAGAAATTTGCTTCGAAAACCAGGTATGCGCGGTGCTGAGGCTGCGGGGGCGAGGTCCACGGCGGGTGACAGGTTCATGGGGGACAAACGTGTGTCCTCCGGGGACCGCGGGTGGCTACGGGGGATAGGAAGCCTTTCCTTATTAACACTGCCTTTTCTTTGTGGCCTTTGTCTTGTTAACTAGTTGTTTTTTGTGTGATGCTGGGGCCTTGTGCATGCGAGGCAAGCACCCTACCAACTGAGCTATATTCCCAGCCCTCAATTAGTTTTCTTAATGTTAAGATGAGTACAGTCAGTCATTTTTAACTTTTTTTTTTTAGATGTTGATGGACCTTTATTTTATTCATTCACTTACATGTGGTGCTAAGAATTGAACCCCATGCCTCACACATGCTAGGCAAGCGCTCTGCCACTGAGCCAAAATCCCAGCCCCCATGTAAGACATTTTTATCTTCACCCCACTTTAGTTTTTACTGTTGGTGGGTATGTTTTTTGGTTCGGTTTATTCTTCATTTTAGACAGGGTTTTATTTGATATGCCCCGTCTGACCTCAAACGTGTGATCCTCCTGTCTCAGCTTTTGGCACGGCTGGGCTCACAGGCCTGCATCACTTGTTTTGTTCAATAAACTACTTTAAAGATAGTTTTACGTTTACAGAAAAATTGCAAAGTACTGTTTGAGGAGTACTGTCAGACTAGCAGTAGTGTGCCCTCTGTTGGGGTTTTTTGGTGTTTCCTCATGGTTGTGTGTGGGCTGTGGAGTTTGGAGAGGAGCCTGCAGAGGTGATTTTGTCACATCAAGGGTGTGTGTGGTCCACACAGGTGCTGATCACCTGGCTGGGTGTTTGTCAGGTGTCTACCCTGAGCAGTGACTCTTCCTCCACTTTCCATACTGTCCTTTTTGGGAAGAAGTCAGTATGTGAAGTCGCTGCCTAAGGAGGAGAGAATTGTGCTCAGAAACTATTTGGGATTCTGTGTGGGAGATGCATATCTTCTCCTCCATTTGTTAATTCACTCACATCAGTGTGGATTTGTGGATTATACTCCACTATGACTTTACTTTGCTCTCATTATTCCAACTGTGGCCGTTAGGAGCCCTCTCAGTGTCTCTGTACCATTGACACCCCAATCGTGTGGGGTTCTGTGTGCCTATTTAGCATATCCTTACTTTCCAGTGCTACAAGGTGTGCCAGGTTCATCTTACATATCCTGTTCTTGTGCCACAATCCTAGAATCAACCCTTTCTCTGAGGACTCCTGGTCCTGGTAAAGTGGCACCATGGGTTGGGTGCCTGGTGTACATGCTCCACTGGGGTGTCTGTTGTTGGGGCCTTTCCATTTGTGAAATAAAAAGTCTGTGCTTACGGCTCCCTTACATAGATGCTTACCCATAAACGTCTTTGTGTATAATCATCTGCTTCCAGCTGCAGCTCACCACCACATAGATCATGTAGCCCCTGTGCCTCGCTCACCTGTAACTCCCTCTTTAAAAGTGAGCAGTGGGGTCTCCCTGGCCATTATGATTGTCTAGCCTTAGCATATGGCATAGCAGTACCAGTACCCTCAACCTGGCCCTCCATGGGAACCACTTGGTCAACTGGGTGTGGTGTTTATGTACATCTTGGGAGATATTTTAAGGTCCTCTTTCTCTACCCTTAGGACTGTAGGCAAATTTGAAAGTCAAAATTATGAAGTTGAATTAAAACTGTTTTCTGCCTTGCCTCCACAACAATGCTGTTCATTAACTGCCTACATTTTGGGGCCCCATGCCATTGAGGTATGAACCCTCTTAAGGTAGGTTACGCAACTCTTGTGATTTGCTGGCACTATCCAATGTGGCTTTTGCTTTCTCCTTGCAGGAAGAAGTTCTGGTATGAAGGTCCTTCCCTGGGGTTTACTGGGTGAGTGTCAAGCAGCCCCCTCGTCGTCGTGGTGGGTGAGATTCACAGTTGGCACAGCTCTTGCCTGACTGGCTGTCCAAATCTGCCCTGGAGGGTAGTATCTGTGTGCGTGGGACTGCTAGCATGGATTTAACCGTTTCAGATAAAAATTGACTATGGCTGACGTTTTCTAGAATGTCCTGTTATTATTTAGTGTTCATCAAATTTTTAGTGTATGTGAACCACAAAAGTTCATATGATAAATGGTTCAAACTAGAAAAAATACATTGTGTATACTAAAAATATATTGTGTTTACTTTTTAACAGTGAGTTTTTATGGTATGCAAAGTATACCTCAAAAAATTTTTTTAAAAATAAAACTGGCAGCAGTTTTGATCTTGGGAACAACAGACATACTTTACCTTAGAGCTGAGGTAACCGAGGTGACTATTGTCTGTCTTACGTTGATGGCACCCTTCCCCAACCCAAGTTGGTGATGGGTGACAGGTGTAACCTGCCCTTGGGCCGTGTTCTTCTTCTTAATGGAGACTTATAGGCCTTCCAAATTGGACTTGCTCCTGAAGAGAACCTCAAAGAGGACCAGGAAGGAAGATCATGTGCGCCTGCGGGCCCTGAACGGCCTCCTCCATAAAGCGCTGACAGACTTGTTAAGCACCCCTGAAGTGAGCCAGGAGGTCTACAACCTGAATGTGGAGCTCTCCAAGGTAGAGGGCAGGCCAGAGGAGAGAAGACGGAGTTCAGCTCTCCCAGCTGAGCTCTGCACCCCGTGGCCTTGGTTTGGGGCTGCAGAGTCGTGGGGAGTGCTAGAGACAAGGGGTTCCTATGCTGGGCACAGAGGCAGCCAGGCTGCCACCCAGGGGTGGGACCCATGACCCCGCAGCACCTGCATGCTGTCTGACCCTGGAAGAAGGCCTGAGGAGGCTCTGAGGTGTGGTTAAGACACCTGCCTTTGCTTGGCATAAAGACAGGAGGGTCCTCTGATCCCTCAGAGGATGTGAGCCATGAGGAGAAGGGGCAGTTCTGTGTTTCCAGTCTGCATCTTAGGAGAGGCTGTGAGGCCGGTGCAGGGCTCCAGCTGCGGACAGTCCTGGGGAAGGGGCGTTGGCAACGTTCCTGCCTGCCACGAGTACTCTGTAGCAGCAGTGCTGGCCTCTGTGGGGCACGGACACTGCTCTTGGGCAGGAGGCTAAAGGGAGCTGTGGTTTTCATCCCGGGAAGGTTGTCTGAGGAAGCCTGTAAACAGAGTGTGCCTGTGGTTGGTGTCTAGGTCTCGCTGACTCCAGACTTCTCAGCCTGCCGCGTCTATTGGAAGGTGAGCCTCTCGGCGGACCAGAACAAGAGCACAGAGGCCACCCTGCAGAGGAGTGCGGCGCACATGAGGTGATGCCCCTGTTTCTTGCTTTCTGCTGGCACCCAGGTCACCAGGCTGTTGTACTTGTAGGTTTCACTCATGAAGGAGTTCTGCTTTGAAGGAAAATTCTGGGTTAATTTTCTTGAATTTAGAGTATAGTTCACATTTTTCCATAGGATGTGATGTAGTTGACTTTCAGCTCAGTTGTGTAGGACCCTGGAGGTGTTTTCCTGGAGGTTAAAGTATGACTTTAAAAGTCTACCAAGAATCAGCAGATAACAGGTGTAGTATTTTTCAGGGAGGTGGTGAGGCTAAGATGGTTCTTGTGACACAGGGATGTTTCCACCTCTGTCCCTGGAGGCACCTTGTCAGCTCTGTGGTGATGCTCACAGTGAGACATGCCACGTGCCCTGAAACATTGCAAATGAATAAGCAGGACACGCTTCAAGTGCAGTCTGTGACACCCCTGTGGTTGGGCCCCCTGTCCCAGCTGTTCGAGGTAGGTGTGTGGCGGATATTGTTTCAAAGAAGAGTGAGGCAAGCCTGCTACTTGAGGGTAAATAGCTGGCCGTATCCACCACAGCAATAAGCCGCAACCTTTCAATTGAAAATCAAACTTAGAAAAATCAGCATCCACCACTGAGCTCATGGCTTCCAGGTGCTCCAGTTGGTTCTGAGAGAATGCATCAGTGTTCTGAAACTCTGGGTCACTTGCTATGCAGGTGACCAGTGTACAAGGCTACAAGCTATGTAGGCAGATCTCTCTGTTGTCGTGCCAGAGACTGCTGTGTTGTCAGCTGCAGAGGCCCTTGCTGGTTGGTGTCTTGGATTCTGTGCTGCTGCTGAGTTGGACGTGTGTGCCACACCTAGCTTGGCACATGTTTGTATCTCATGACAGAGCCACACAGAGACCATTTTTCTCCAGCATCTAGGACATGAGGGTGGAGCCATGCCAGGGATTGTCCACTGAGTGCAGGACAGGCTCCCAGGGCCACAGAAGATTCTGTGTTCGGATTGGTGTTCATTGGCTCTCTGATGTGTTGGAGGAATTGGTTATAGTGCATTCTGCACCCTTTTGTAATAGGCAGCTCAGTACAGAAACTTTTTCATCTGTGTTTTTTTCCCTTGAGATTGTCTTGCTACCCTGTCCAGGCTAGCCTTCAAGTCCTGGGCTCCCTGCTCTGCCCCATCTACCCTGTGTGCTGGTCTAATTTTCATATTTGGGATTCCCACATAGCTTGTGTTGAGCACCTACCCTCTCCACTAGGTGTCCAGGTGGAGCCCAGAGTCTCACATCTCTCTTCTCCTTAGACACCTGTTGATGTCCCAGCAGACCCTGAGGAATGTGCCGCCAATAGTGTTCATTCAAGACAGAAAAAACGCAGCTCTGGCAGAGGTGAGGCTTCTAAATAATTGCCCTTTTATGATATAAACTTATATGAATAGGATTTTAAATTTGTTAATTTTTAAATACTCAATAGATAATGTTTTAAAAACTCTGCGAAGGAGTTTTTTAAGGAAGGCCCTTAACCCTGTTTGCAGTGGCAACCACAGTGTAACCCCTTTTCTGGTTCTAAGTCTTTGCTCATCAATGGAACTCTGACCAGTGACCCAGAGTGCTGTTTCTCAGTGTATGAACTTAAGGTGGCCAGAGCTGCCCTGTGTGCTTGCCTCGCATCTCACCACCTCCCCACCTAACCTGAGGTTGTAGAATTCACTTTCTGACCTAAGTATTTAACCACCATTTTCTTTGCTTTAGAGGAGTTTTGTTACAAAGATTGAAACTGGAGGTTAAAGTATGTTATAACTTTTTAAAAGTCTACCAAGAATCAGCAGATAACAAGTGTAGTGTTTTTCCTGGATAACTGTCATCCACTGGACAACCAGAGAGGATTTAGCTTCACAGAAGGAAAGGATCTAGTTTGACGTGTGTGTCTTTTGTTACTCATGACACAGATAACATAGGAAACATTGTGCAGGTAGTGACCCTGACAGTGGAGGAATGTCCCGAGTTAGAAGCAGCAGCAGGGACAGTAGTCCTTACAAGGCACTGGGGCAGAGAGCTCAACTGTGCGAGTGCTGAGGCCACCAGGGCAACTGGCCATGCAGCCCCAAGCTAAACTTCTCACCTGTAGCTCCTGTAGTCTCTGGGGAGGCAGGTTCCACAGGTTCCTTCCGACACATCTCTGGAGGAGGGAAGGCACAGCTGTGCCTGAAGTGGGCCACTGCCACTAGAGGATGGAAGTGCAGATCCCAGATGGGCCACTGGAACAGCCAGGGCCGAGTCCAGCAGGGTGTGTGGGTGATGTCCTGTGTGGACAGCAGCCTGCCTCCTGGTTGCTGCTGCTGTGTTCCTGCTCAGATTCCTTGCCCTGCAGAGCTCCTGCAGCCTTCCTAGCACCTGCTGTCTTGCCTTGCCAGAGGCCTTTTCTCCCCTAAAGCACACAAATTACGTGGCTACAGGGAAGCATTTTATGAAACTACAGTAGAAACTAGTCAATATTAGTTCTTTAATCGTTGTTTAATGGGTTTCGCACGTTTGTAAGTTTCACATAAGCTCAGTTCATTGTCAGAGAGAGGTGCCATGTTAGAATAGCACCAAGGCAGCTGCAAGCTCCGGCTGTCGCACAGCCCCAGAGCAGAGAGATCTACAAAAGGGCAGATGAAGTCCACCCAGGAGGCCCATGGTTGGCCTTATGCCTGAGGACAGCAGGTGTTTCTGCCCCCTTCCCAGTGTGGATTGGAAGTGTGGCCTTTGACTGCTTATGAGGATGGGAGGTGTGGGCCAGGGCTGCCGGTGTGGACTTTAGGCTTGGCCCACAGATCCAGTGCTTCCTGTGTGGGGGAGGGGGAGACGGTAAAGGGGTGGGGTGGGGGGAGGGGGAAGGGTGGGTAGTGACCTACCACTGTGGTGCTCCTTTTCAGATTGATGGTTTACTGGCAGTGGCTGAGTTTGGACCTCCAGATGAAGGAGACCACCCCATAGGAGATGATCCCAGGTGATGTGTGGGGATGTGTTTCCATTCCCTGGGGCAGATTACCAGGCACAGGATTAGTGTTTTTGTAGTGGCTGTGTGATCTGTGTCCCGCTAGCCCATGTTGCCCCTTGGTACTTGGCCCTGGGGCCCAGGCATCCACAGGCAGTGGTCTGCAGGCACATGGTGAGGCCTGTGGCGTCTGTGAGGCTTCGTCCACTGGGGAGATGGCCGCATTGTCTTGGCTTCCTTGTTGGCTCAGTGCACTTTTAAACATTTTTAAAATATTATGTGCATTTTTTTTACTTTTATCTGATTTACTTATTTAAATTGGGGGTTTTTTAGTTATCAATGGACCTTTATTTTATTTATTTATTTATATGTGGTGCTGAAAGTTGAACCCAATGCCTCACACATGCTGGACAAGCGCTCTACCACTGAGTCACAATACCAGCCCCCCCTTATTTATTTATTTTTATGTGGTGCTGAGGATCCAACCTGTGCCTCACATGTGCTAGGCAAGTTCTCTGCCACAGAGCTACGACCTCAGCCCTGGCTTAGTGCACTTTAACTGGGTGCATGCAGTATGCCAGGCCTTGTCGTAGCTCTCAGATGCTACCCTGCTGTGCTGTGGGTGGGGCCGGCTAGGGGAGGCTGAGGATGCAGTGATCATTACTGATGAGCCTATCATCCTTAGAGGAAGGGTGCAGGAAAGTGGATTTGCATGGCTGGTGGAGGTGCAGGTACACCTCTGAGGAACAACACAGTCTGGTCACAAGCCTGGGAACAGGGGTGTTTGTGGAGGGGCTGGCCTAGATAGGAGCAGCATCTGCATTTTTGGTGCTTCAGCGACTGCAGGGCCCAGCAGTAAGTCTGGGTTGAACCAGCCTGCAGGAGCTAGTGCCACGGCTCCATGTCACCACAGCCTGCACATCCTGACCATCAGGGAGCCAGCATGGGGAAGAGGCAGGCCAGAGAGCCTCCAGGGTTTAGTGTTGACGGGTAAGAGGGTGATGTGACTGCAGTCAGGTTTTGTCGTTTGGTGTGTCACTGACCTGAGTTGCTGCACCTGTAGGCCCACCTGTGATTCTGTTCAACTGCCTGCTGTTCCTGCCGTGCTTAGTGTATTCATGATGGTACCAAGTGGCATCAGGACTATGCTGGCCACGGGTTCTGAAATCCAGAAATCCCTTCCACATCCTTGTCCGGGAGGTGCATATGTGGGCAGGTGTAGGACATGCCCCCAGTGGCATTTTATACTGATGACTGTGGTCATGGCGTGGCTTATGCTTGGTATGAAGGTTCCTCTTCTCCTTCAGGGACCCTGATGCCCTATCACCACATGATGCCCCAGGACCTGCTTCATGCTCAAGTCTGTGTGGGATCGATCATGAGGCACTCAGCAAGCAAATAATGGAGTACAAACGGAGGAAGGAGAGAGGACTCCTGAGCCTGGCGTTGCGGGGGCAAGAGCAGGGGGCTGAGCCCACACAGCTGGTGAGGAGGAGGAGGAGGAAGACCCTGTCCTGCCAGGACAAGGACAGCTCCCCCAGGAGTTTCCTGCTGGGTGAGGATGAGGATGAGGACAAGGACTACACTCTAGGGTGTGAATGTCAGACCCATGAAGCAGAGCAGGAGTGGGGGGCAGACCCTGGGGACGAAGGGGCAGAGCAGGGCCCCTGTGGCAGAACAGGGCAGGGGCAGGGTTAGGCTTTAGGCTGCCTAACCACGCCTGTGGGATAGGAGCCAGTGCCTGAGAGGCGCATGTTCTGCTCTTCAGACAGTCCATGGAGCCGAAGCTTTGGGTGGTGGTGTCCATTTCCTGCTGTTTGGCTTGTGATAACTTTTCCATGTATCTAAACACAGTGTCCTACACAAAAGGCATTTGTTTTCTCCAATACCATGTGATCAAAAAAATACATGATTATCTTACCAGTGAGTCCTGTACAAACGTGAAGACAAAGAGATTATATCTCAAACACTGGTGCAGGCACAGCCAACCACAGAGCTGGATGTAGCAGTGCAAAGGCTAGGGTCAGAGCCTGCAGGTCCACCTCTGCAGACCTGCCCAGCAAGCGCTGCTGCCCAGTGCCACATCCTCTGGCTGTGCTCCCTTCCTGGCTGTGCTTTAAGCTGTCATTTCCACCTGCTGGTTAAAGCAATGAGCAGGAAGCATGTGTAGGTGAGTTTGGAGGGCTCTTGGTGACTCCTGCCGTACCTGAATTCCAGCCAGCCCTGAGGTGCTGACGCTTTCCATCTCAGCACCTCTGTCCACCTGGTGCTCTTTCTTTCTTTCTTTGTTTTTTTTTTTTTTTTTTTTTTAATATTTGTTTTTTAGGTGTAGTTGGACACAGTACCTTTATTTTGTTTATTTATTTTTATGTGGTGCTGAGGATCAAACCCAGGGCCTCGCAAGTGCTAGGTGAGCCCTCTACTGCCGAGCCCCAGCCCCAGCCACCAGCTGATGCTCTTTCTAAAACCTGTCTGAGTGTCCAGCGGGCCTGGTCTTTGCTTTCCAGGGAACCTGTGACTCTGGACAAGTTTCCAGACAGCTTATCTGTTGTGCTTAATTTCTTTCATCAGATGTAAGGTGAAGACTTGTTTTACTCTTTGTCAAAAGAGAAAACACATGTGCTCCACCTTGTAAATTATGTTTTGGTTCATTTTGAACAGCAAAATCACCAACAGAAGATGCAAAAATGTGCTGAACGCGGTGCTTAGATTGTTGAAAATATGCTTTTTTGCAATATGAGCTAAAATGAGAATGCAGAGTTACCTTGCTGAGCCTCAGCTAGGAACATGTGTTGAACTGGCCCAAGTTGTTTGTGTGTGTGTTTCCTCCCCTGAGTGAAGGAATGCACCACAGTGACAACCTGCAGCTCCCCACAGTAACTAGTAACAGTCATCAATTACTAGTCATAACCAGTAGCAGCCAGCAGCTACCATTAGGAACTGCCTGTGACACTGGCAGATAGGAATTGAACCTGGTGTTCTCTAGTCTCAGCCCCTGAGGATTGTCTCCTGCCCTGGTGATGCTCTTACCCTGTGCCCTTGCCCTCTCCCTGCTCTGAAACCTATCCCTGCATCCTTAAGCTGACAGGACTCTGAGGGTATAGCCCCTTACCTGTGGACAGCCCCTCAACTTGGTCTGCCTGATACTTCTCAGGTCAGAGTCAGGCTGCACTTGTGTCTTTGGTGGCAACAGCTTCTCTGCCATGGGATGCCGGCTGTTGACACCATCATATTAGTGGCCCATGAAGGTGATGTCTGCCAGCCTCCCCAGTGTAAAGTCACTTCCCCCCAGTCCTGATAAATTCCCACATTGATTTTACTCAGTTATCTAACCAACATGCACTCAGGCTTCCTGTTCACTCAGAAGTTATACTCTCTGTACTCTACAATGCTACTGTGTTCTGGAGCCGAGCCTCTTTCTGTGTTAGTGTGTTCTGAGGCTGTGCTCTGTGATGTGGTAAGGTGTTCAGAATCTTGCAGTTTCCAGTTTAGCCATTGCTTCAGTTTCCTCTGATTGCGCTAACAAATCACAAAATCAGTATCTGAGAGCAACAGAAACTTGCTGTTCTGGAGGCAGAGTCCAGATGCAGGTGCCCCAGAGCCGTGCTTCTTCCCAGACCCCTCTGCCTCTTCAATGCTTATGGTTCCAGGCACTGCTGGACTGTGCTCTATCCTCAGGTGCAGTTTTGTGTCTCCTTTAAAGACACGTGTGGTGCTGAGATTGTGGCTCAGTGGTAGAGCACTTGCCTAGCATGTGTGAGGCACTGGATTTGATCCTCAGCACCACATATAAATAAATAAAGATCCATGGACAACTTAAAACAAACAAAAAAAAGCACGTATGGCAGGGTTCAGGACCCACTCTAAATCCAGGACGATCTCATTTTGTTTTATTTTTTATTTATTTATTTTTTTTGCATTTTTGTTTTATTCTTTTATTTTTTTATTTATTTTTATTTTTTTTATTGGTTGTTCAAAATATTACAAAGCTCTTGACATATCATCTTTCATACATTTGATTCAAGTGGGTTATGAACTCCCATTTTTACCCCGTATACAGATTGCAGAATCACATCGGTTACACATCCACGTTTTTACATATTGCCATACTAGTGACTGTTGTATTCTGCTATCTTTCCTGTCCTCTACTATCCCCCCTCCCATCCCCTCCCATCTTCTCTCTCTACCCCATCTACCGTAATTCATTTCTCTCCCTTGATTTTTTTTTTCCCTTTCCCCTCACATCCTCTTATATATAATTTTGTATAACAGTGAGGGTCTCCTTCCATTTCCATGCAATTTCCTTTCTCTCTCCCTTTCCCTCCCACCTCTCGTCCCTGTTTAATGTTAATCTTTTTCTCATGCTCTTCCTCCCTGCTCTGTTTTTAGTTGCTCTCCTTATATCAAAGAAGACATTTGGCATTTGTTTTTTAGGGATTGGCTAGCTTCACTTAGCATAATCTGCTCTAGTGCCATCCATTTCCCTGCAAATTCCATGATTTTGCAGGACGATCTCATTTTGAAGTCTTTAATCACACCCATGAGGACCACATTTCCAAATGAAGTCAGTTTGAACACTGTATGGCTGTACATGGAGGTGAACCACCGTACCAGGCATGAAGTGTTATCCCATTGTTTCTTTAACGTCTTTCCCTCTTTCTTGTCCTTTCCACTATACATGTGGTGAATTAATGGTGTAAATGATTTTGCTGGGCACGGTAGCCACACCTGTAACCCCAGCACTAGGGAGACTAAGGCAGGAGGATCACAAGTTCCAAGACAGCCTGAGCAACTTAGTGAGACCCTGTCTTAAAATAAAAAGGCCTGAGAGTGTAGCTCAGAAGTACAGCACCCAGTTCAATCACCAGTACCTCCACCAGAGTGCTATTTTCCTTCATCTCTGATCAAATCTATTGTTTAGCACATTTAGTAAATTTTTCATTTCAATCGTTGATCATTTGGCTGCAGTTTTTTTTTTTTTTTTTTAATATGTATTTTTTAGGTGTAGATGGGAACAACACAATACCTTTATTTTTATGTGGTGTTGAGGATCGAACCCGGGCCCCGCCTGTGCTAGGCGAGCGCAATACCACTGAGCCACAATCCCAGCCCAAGGCTGCAGTTTTTTTAAAAAATATTTTTTAGTTGTTGATGGATCTTTTATTTTATTTGTTTGTTTATATGCAGTGCTGAGGATCAAACCCAGGGCTTCATGCATGCAAGGCAAGCACTCTACCAACCAACTGAACTGTATCCCTAGCCCCCAACAGAGCTTTTTATCTAAAGGGTATACGTTATTCCTCATACTGCATAATAAAATGTAGGAAAACAAAATAACGTGCAAGACTTCGTTTTTAAAAGATGGGCAATCTTTAGTATGTATTAATAGTGCCTGTTTCAACTAAATCACACAAAAGAATTTACAAGATGCACAGTTTGGCACTTTTTTTTTTTTTAAATAAAATTTTTAATGGCAGTGTTAGGTTCACAGCAGAATTGAGAGGAAGATAGAGATCTCCTGTAGATGCCCTGTCCTTCCCCACTATTTTATGTCCTGCATCACAATCCATGAGCCCAAATTGACAAGTTAGTATCCCCAAAGTCCATAGTACATTAGATTTCTCTGTATTTTCTAGAATATTAAAACTGTAGTTTTAGAACTGCACATACCAAGAAATGGATCACTTAGCTAATAATTATTAGAAAATTTGTGTCATGCCCCTATAATCCCAGTGATTCTGAGAGGCTGAGGCCGGAGAGGTGTTGCAAATTCAGGGCAGCCAGGGCAATTTAGCAAGATAATGTCTCAAAAATAAAAGAGGCTGGGGATGTAGCTCAGGTTTAGAGCATCTCTGGGTTCAATTCCCCCATACCAAAAAAAAAAAAAGAAAAAACAATTTAGATTCAGAGAAAATTAATCCCACTTAATTTACAGATGCATTGTGTCTTGGTACAATTATGATAACTCTTCAGAGATTCATAAATCTCTGGTAAGAAAGGCCCAGAGCAGGGGAGTGGGGCGGAGGGAGAATGAAGGAACTTTGGGCAAAGGGGAGGGAGAGAAGGGGAGGGGGAATGGGGGTAGGAAAGATGGTGGAATGAAATGAACATCATTACCCTAGGTATATGTATGACTGCACATGTGGTGCAACTCTACATCGTGTACAACAAGAGAAATGAAAAGTTGTGTTCCATTTGTGTTCAAGGAATTGAAATGCATGCTGCATGATTAGAACTAAAAAAAAAAGCCCAGAACAGCCAGATGATGGACACCTGTAATTAGGGGCTCGAGAGGCTGAGGCAGGAGGATTGGGAGTTCAAAGCCAGCCTCAGCAACTTAGAGAGGCCCTAGATAACTAAGCGAGATCCTGTCTCTAAATAAAATACAAAAAAAGGGTTGGGAATGTGGCTTAGTGGGTAAGTGTCCCTGGATTCACTCCCCAGTGCCAAAAAAAAAGAAAAAAAGGGTCCAGAAATCCGAGGAAGACTGAAGAATGTCCCTAGCAATCTGCTTTGATTTTTTTTCTGGCTTTCCGGGTTCAGAACCATCAGATTGTGAATTGGGCATTTGAATTGACCATTTGGGAAAAGACACCTGTTATGAATCGGATCTGGAGTGCCTTCCAAAGACAAGTGTTGACGGCTTGGTCCCCAACACAGCAGTGTCCAGAGGTGGAGCTTTTGGATGTGATTGTAACATGGGGGCTCTAAATTCATCAGTGGGTTAATCCATTTCATGGATTATAATTGGAATGGGGGCTAGGGTTGTGACTCAGAGGTAGAGCGCTCGCCTAGCATGAGTGAGGCACTGGGTTCAATCCTCAGCACCACCTACAACTAAAAAACATATATATTTTTGAAAAAATAATTGGAATGGACTGTGGAAGGAGATGGAACCTGTGGGCAGGTGGGGACAGTAGTGGAAGA